ACTCAGAGATTTCATCACCACCAGGCCAGCTTTACAAGAGCTCCTGAAAGAGGCTCTACACAAATAAAGGAACAACCAGTACCAGCCACTCCAAAAACATGCCAGATGGTAAAGAAAATCAACACAATGAAGAATCTGCATCAACTAATGGGCATAACAGCCAGCTAGCACCAAAATGGCAGTATCAAATTCACACATAACAATATTAACTCTAAATGTAAATGGACTAAATGTCCCAATAAAAACACACAGACTGGCAAATTGGATAAAAAGCCAAAACCCATCGGTGTGCTGTATCCAGGAAACCCATCTCACATGCAAGGATACACAAAGGCTCAAAATCAAGGGATGGAGGAAGATTTACCAAGCAAATGGAGAGCAAAAAAAAGCAGGACTTGCAATTCTCATCTTTGATAAATTAGACTTTAAAGCAACAAAGATCAAAAGAGACAAAGAAGGACATTACATAATGGTAAAAGGATCAATACAACAAGAAGAGCTAACGATCCTAAATATATACACACCCAATATAGGAGCACCCAGATACATAAGGCAAATTCTTAATGACTTACAAAGAGACTTAGATTCCCACACAATTATAGTGGGAGACTTTAACACCCCATTGTCAACATTAGACAGATCAACCAGACAGAAAATTAACAAGGATATCCAGGACTTGAACTCAGACCTGGACCAAGCAAACCTAATAGACATCTACAGAACTCTCCACCCCAAATCCACAGAGCATACTTTCTTCTCAACACCACATCACACCTACTCTAAAACTGACCACATAATTGGGAGTAAATCACTCCTCAGCAAATGCAAAAGAACAGAAATCTAACAAACAGTCTTCATACCACAGTGCAATCAAGTTAGAACTCAGAATTCAAAAACTAACCCAGAACCGCACAGCTTCATGGAAACTGAACAACTTGCTCTTGAATATTGACTGGATAAACAACGAAATGGAGACAGAAATAAAGATGTTCTTCAAAACCAACGAGAATGAAGACACAACATACCAGAATCTCTGGGACACATTTAAAGCAGTCTCTAGAGGAAAATATATAGCAATAAGTGCCCACATGAGAAGCAAGGAGAGATCAAAAATTGACACCCTATCGTCAAAATTCAAAGAGCTAGAGGAGCAAGATCAAAAAAAACCTCAAAGTCTAGCAGAAGACAAGAAATAGCTAAGATCAGAGCAGAGCTGAAGGAGACAGAGACACAAAAAACCCTTCAAAAAATCAACAAATCCAGGAGCTGGTTTTTTGAAAAGATCAACAAAATAGACAGACCACTAGACAGATTAATTAAAAAAAAAAAAGAGAGAGAATAACCAAATTGATGCAATAAAAAACGATAAAGGGGATATCACCACAGATTCCACAGAAATTCAAACCATCATCAGAGATTATTACGAACAACTCTACGCACATAAACTAGTAAACCTGGAAGAAATGGACAAATTCCTGGACACGTGCCTCCTCCCAAGCCTAAACCAGGAAAAAGCTGAAACCCTGAATAGACCAATAACAAGGTCTGAAGTTGACGCAGCAATTAAGAGCTTACCACCCAAGAAAAGCCCAGGTCCAGACGGGTTCACAGCCGAATTCTACCAGACATACGAAGAGGAGCTGGTACCATTCCTTCTGAAACTATTCCAAACAATACAAAAAGAGGGAATTCTTCCCAAATCATTTTATGAGACCAACATCATCCTGATTCCAAAACCTGTCAGAGACTCAACAAGAAAAGAAACCTTCAGGCCAATATCCATGATGAACATAGATGCAAAAATCTTCAATAAAATACTGGCAAGCTGATTGCAACAGCACATCAAAAAGCTTATCCACCATGATCAAGTAGGCTTCATCCTGGGGATGCAAGGATGGTTCAACATATGCAAGTCTATAAACGTACTTCACCACATAAACAGAACCAAAGACAAAAACCACATGATTATCTCAATTGATGCAGAGAAGGCCTTTGACAAAATTCAACAGCCCTTGATGCTAAAAACCCTCAATAAGCTAGGTATTGACGGAACGTATCTCGAAATAATAAAAGCTATTTATGACAAACCAACAGCCAATATCATACTGAATAGGCAAAAACTGGAAGCATTCCCCTTGAAATCACGCAATAGACAAGGAAGCCCTCTCTCACCACTCCTATTCAATATAGTACTAGAAGTTCTAGCCAGAGCAATAAGGCAAGAAAAAGAAATAAAGGGTATTCAAATAGGAAAGGAGGAAGTCAAATTGTCTCTATTTGCAGATGACATGATTGTATATCTAGAAGACCACATTGTCTCAGCCCAAAAGCTCCTGAAACTGACAGGCAACTTCAGCAAAGTCTCAGGATACAAAATCAATGTACAAAAATCACATGCATTCCTATACACCGATAACAGACTTAAGAGAGCCAAATCAAGAACGAACTGCCATTCACAATTGCCACAAAGAGAATAAAATACCTAGGAATACAACTAACAAGGAACGTAAAGGACCTCTTTAAGAACTACAAACCACTGCTCAACGAAATAAGAGAGGACACAAACAGATGGAGAAACATTCCATGTTCATGGTTAGGAAGAATCAGTATCGTGAAAATGGCCATACTGCCCAAAGTAATTTACAGATTCAATGCTATACCCATCAAGCTACCAATGACCTTCTTCACAGAACTGGAAAAAACCACCTTAAACTTCACATGGAACCAAAAGAGAGCCCACATAGCCAAGTCAATTCTAAGCAAAAAGAACAAAGCGGGAGGCATCACACTACCGGACTTCAAACTATACTACAAGGCTACAGTAATCAAAACAGCCTGGTACTGGTACCAAAACAGAGATATAGACCAATGGAACAGAACAGAGGTCTCAAAGGCAACAAAACATATCTACAACCATCTGATCTTTGACAAACCAGACAAAAACAAGCAATGGGGAAAGGATTCCCTGTTTAATAGTGTTGGGAAAACTGACTAGCCATGTACAGAAAGCAGAAACTGGACCCCTTCCTGACACCTTACACTAAAATTAACTCCAGATGGATTAAAGACTTAAACATGAGACCTAACACCATAAAAACCCTAGAAGAAAATCTAGGCAAAACCATTCAGGACATAGGTGTAGGCAAGGACTTCATGACCAAAACACCAAAAGCATTGACAACGAGAGCCAAAATAGACAAATGGGACCTAATCAAACTCCACAGCTTCTGCACAGCAAAAGAAACAATCATTAGAGTGAATCGGCAACCAACAGAATGGGAAACAATTTTTGCAGTTTACCCATCTGACAAAGGGCTGATATCCAGAATTTACAAAGAACTAAAACAGATTTACAAGAAAAAAACTAACAAGCCCATTCAAAAGTGGGCAAAGGATATGAACAGATACTTTACAAAAGAAGACATACAGAAGGCCAACAAACATCTGAAAAAATGCTCATCATCACTGGTCATCAGAGAAATGCAAATCAAAACAACACTGAGATACCATCTCATGCCAGTTAGAATGGTGATCACTAAAAAATCTGGAGACAACAGATGCTAGAGAGGATGTGGAGAAATAGGAACACTTTTACACTGTTGGTGGGAGTGTCAATTAGTTCAACCATTGTGGAAGACAGTGTGGCGATTCCTCAAGGACCTAGAAATAGAAATTCCATTTGACCCAGCAATCCCATTACTGGGTATATATCCAAAGGATTATAAATCGTTCTACTATAAGGACATGTGTACATGAATGTTCATTGCAGCACTGTTTACAATAGCAAAGACCTGGAACCAACCCAAATGCCCATCGATGATAGACTGGACAGGGAAAATGTGGCACATATGCACCATGGAATATTATGCAGCCATCAAAAATGATGAGTTTGTGTCCTTTGTAGGGACATGGATGAACCTGGAAACCATCATTCTCAGCAAACTGACAGAAGAGCAGAAGATCAAACACCGCATGTTCTCGCTCATAGGCAGGTGTTGAACAATGAGAACACATGGACACAGGGAGGGGAGCACTACACACTGGAGTCAGTTGGGGGGAAATAGGGGAGGGACAGCGGGGGTGGGGAGTTGGGTAGAGATAGCAAGGGGAGAGATGCCAGATGTAGGTGATGGGGAGGAAGGCAGCAAATCACACTGCCACATGTGTACCTATGCAACAATCTTTCATGTTCTTCACATGTACCCCAAAACCTAAAATGCAATAAAATAAATGGAAAAAAAAAAAAAAAAGAACTAGGCAGACAGCATAATTTTGAATGCTACAGTTAGATGTTAAAGTACAGTTTTTAATAATATTTTTGGTTATTTTCACTTATTTGTGAATAGTCAAACTATATTAATATTAAAATGTAGAAATCATTTTCTTTTAAATAATTATTTCTAAGATATAAATAAACTCAACTGTTCCTGTGCTTTCCAAGTATAATAGAAAGCTATATTTTTAGTAGTATAGAAAGAAATGTTCTTGAATATTAATATTCAAAGGTACTGTTTTATTCATTTAATCAATGAACAAACAAAAATTTTAATTTTCAAGATAAGGAGAATCACTACTTTTAGAAAGAAATTATTAGCTCCTTACTTTCCATCCCAATGAAGGCAAAGGAAACTAAGACAAATATTCTTTAATTTAAATCTATTATTACCCCAATCATAAATTATAATTACAAGTATTATCAGGACATTTTATATAACATATAAAACTGTATATTATTTTATAAAAATATTTTTTTAAATGTTGAGTATATAAGAGAAATAAACACAACTTAAAGTCATGACATATTTAGACATATCACAAGCCAAATCACGTCCTTTTTACTTTCCCTTCAACAAATAACCATAAATGGTAAAAACCCAACAGAGTGTGGTTAGCATACAAGCTGAACGTTAGTCCTACTAGTAAAACACTAAGATCATAATGGATGTACATCTTATATAACTAATGTATCATATTTAAAACAGAATAGTAGAATATCACACCTTATTATTTCCGTAGGCCATATCCATTGCTTCTAGAGACAAGGAGCAAAGCGCATTTATTAAATGATGCAGTGATACGTCATCAAGATACCTAAAAAGAAAATGAAGAAATAAGAAATCCCGATCTAAAATATATGACTCATCACAATGTTTTTGTCAACTAAAAAAACTGACTCTTACTGTGAGCTTTCAAACAATCTTGAAAGTATATTGGAAATCACTGGTAAATCCGTCATCACTGCTGTTGTTAGAACCTAAAAGAAGAATAAAATTAAATGTAACATATGACACTTTGGGATGCACTAATTGGGTACGAAGGACTAGAGCTTACTGTACTGGGTCCTTCTACAGCTCTCCCAGGTTTCAAGGCACCGCCACTACTAGGCTTTAATCCCAGAATCCATACAAGATGCTGTAAAATAAAAATTAAAAAATAAAAATGAAGTTTACAAAAGTATAAAAATTCTAACAATTAAAATTAAAATCAGTAGTAACTTCTAGTAACCAAAATTAAAATCAGTAGGTTTCTAAAACCTATAACTAAAATCAGTAATTAACATTCGTGTAAAATAATTAACAATATTAAACATAGGCAGCACAGCTTAGGCCATCATGAGAACCATTCTACCACTTGCTACAATATGAGTCATATCTTCTTCCCTTTCTAACTTCTCTTTTTTCATAACTATTCTATTTCATATCTATCTCTTTATTCATATCTATTCCTTAGGCCTGTCCAACACGTCAATAGGCATTGATTAGTCTAATTGTTAACAATTACATATAAAAACAACACTGATCTCTGACCAAGATACTATTACATACCTGAAGAGTTGCCAAGACAAGTTGCCATGATGTTCCAAGAACAGCCCCATGGCAATGTGCCAAGTTAAGTAGAGTCCTCATACACTGGATATTTTTGGAAGTCAGCTGTATTCAAAAAAGGATACATTTTCAAGAATTATGTATGCTTAAAAATTAAAAGCTTATAAAGTAGTGCTAATGTATTAAAAGATTTTTTAAATATAAAATTAAGAAAAAGGTTTGGATGATTTTATAAGGAACAATTCATTTGATTAAAAGTTGTATTATCATATTAGTTACAATAATGTCAATTGCATAAACTAGCTTCTTCTAAATATACAATCCAGGTAAAAGCAAGTAAATAAATGTAATGATACAGTTTGGCACACACGAAGATAGGTATAACAGGTTTCCTTGACATCTAATTGATAACCGAGAAAAGAACAAGTACATTACCATTACTGTCCCTTGAGGCTGGACTGCTAAAGGCTGACCCACTGCCACAACTTGCTGATGAGATTCACTTGATGGACTTATCATCATAACACTTTGGCCCTGAACAGAATATGCTAGAACACAAAGGAAAGCTTAAATAATTAAAATATATTTTTTATATTGCATTTAAAGTAATATTATATTTTGATTAAACCAAGTTTAGCCATACACTTGTTTAAATATCAGTAATACCTAACTCCTATATGCAAATATTTTAAAAACTCGGGAGGGGTTGGGCACAGTGGCTGACATCTGTAATCCCGGCCATTTTAGGAGGCCAAGGTGGACAGATCACCTGAAGTCAGGAGTTCAAGACCAGCCTGGCCAACATGGTGAAACCCTGACTCTACTAAAAATACATAAATTAACCAGGTATGGTGATACACGTCTGTAGTCTCAGCTACTTGGAGGCTGAGGCAGAAGAATTGCCCGAATTCAGGAGGCGGTAGTTGCAGTGAGCCAAGATCGTGCTATTGCACTCCAGGCTGGGTGACAGAGCAGACTCCGTCTCAAAAACAAAAAACACACAAAAACCTCAGGAGGTACAAAAACCAAGACAAGTTAAGCAAATATTAAGTAATTTTCTATATAACATAAAATTATATAACTAAGCAATGCAGAACTAGAACACATTAAGTATTTTAAACATGTATCCCTGGTATACTTTTTAAGTTAGAAATCAATGCATTTTCAGTTTGGAAAACTGAATATTAGCCTGTAATACAGTTACTTGGGAGGCTAAGACAGGATCACTTTAGCCCAGTTCAAGATCAGCCTGCGCAATACAGTGATATCCTATCTCATTAAAAAACATATAAGGGGGGATGGAGGCAGCAAACCACCATGGCATGCATATACCTATGTAACAATCCTGCAAGATCTGCACATATACCCCAGAACTTAAAGTACAACAAAAAAAAATTTTAATTCCCCTCCAAAAATATATATATATAAATCCTGAATATTACATTGAAATTTATATTATATGTAACTAACAAGTATTTTCAAAGAATTCAACAAGAAAATAAATTTTTCAATGTTGGTTTAACCTAAGTTGTTGCAAACATTATTATTCTACTAGTTCCATTAAAAAAATAACAATCACCATTTCAACAGTATCCCATAGTTTACAAAGGACTTTTTAACTTATTTTACCCCAGCAACTGTTGTTTAAAATTCGTATTACAAGTTGAGTATCCCTTATCCAAAATGCTTAGGTTCACAACTGTTTCAGATTTCAGATTTGTTCAGATTTTGGAATATGTATATTATATATACGTATGCATTTATTTGCATATTTGCAAATACTTATATTTGCATTTTATACCTATTCACATTATATACTTATTCAATGAGCATTTCCTTTGTCATGGTGGTGCTCAACAAGTTTTGGATTTTGGAGCATTTTAGATTCTGAATTTTTGGATATCCCAACCCCACCCCGCACCCCCATCCCATATTTTTTAAGAGCTCAGGGACATTAATTTCTCCAAGGTCAGAGTCAGTACATGAAAAAGCAGACTTAAACTCAGAATGTCTATAATCTTCTGTCTATACCATAACGTCCCATTACATAGAGAGAATTTTGAGTAAGCCTGTCTTACATTTGTTGGAAAGTGTAGCTGCAGTGGTAGTATTTAATACAGTAAGAGCATAATGAGGAGGCAGGGAACCTTTGCATATTGCAGTTATAAAGGCATCTCTTGAAGTCACAAGGCCCAGTCTTCCACAAAGAGCAGCCATAGTCAGTTCAGCTTTTAAAATATTCTCAGTGGCAGCTTCATCTGTGCTGAAAAGAAAGTATTTTATTTAATCTGATAAACTTATTTTTAATTATACTGTAAAGCATGACATGGAATTAAGTATTCAGTGAAGTTTGAAGAAAATCTATTCAAAAGTATTGCCAAAATATTACCAATATACTGAAGAAGAAATTTTAATCTATTAACATAACCTAAAAAGTTGAACTGGGTAAAAACAATATATAATACACTATTTATTACTGAAGACAAGGACTATGAACATAAAGACTTAGCTTAAAATACCAAGCATTTTGAAATAAGTAAATTTCTAAATCCTAAAGAAAAGCAACAAATTAAATATAATCATTGCAAAAACAGTTCTAAGTCTTGAAATGAAAAAGGCATTCTGTAATTTTAGGATTGTATTTTCCATTAAAACATCACAACAATTCTGGTGGCTTGGGGCAGGGCAAGGAAAGTATGCGGAAGGGAGATGACAGAAAAAGAATAATGTTTCACACATATAAAAAACTAATATTAGAAAATAATTCTGGCCAGACACAGTGGCTCATGCCTGTAATCCCAGTACTTCAGGAAGCCGAGGTGGGCAGATCACCTGAGGTCAGGAGATTAAGACCAGCCTGGCCAACATGGTGAAACCCCGTCTCTACTAAAAATATAAAAATTAGCCAGGCGTGGTGGCAGGCACCTGTAATCCCAGCTACTCGGGAGGCTGAGAGAATTGCTTGCAACCGGGAGGCGGAGGTTGCAGTGAGCCAAGATTGTGCCATTGCACTCCAGCCTGGGGGACAAGAGCGAGACTTCATCTCAAAAAAAAAAGGAGAGGAAGAAAAGAAAATAATTATAGGGATAAATTTAAGTAAATCATTTTAATGTGTTTTTTTGACTGACACAGTGCAATATAAAACTTACAAAGACTTAATACCTGGCATCCAGAAGGAGTGAGAGTGCAGCAAGAAGACCACACCAGCAGGCGTTCACCATTTCTTCCCAAACAGCCCTACTAACTTAAAGGAAAAAAAATACAATATTGAATAATAATTATAGATAGCACAATATTTATTAATATGTCAAATTCTAAAACTTTCCTGGATAATATGTCAAACATTCCATCAGCTTAATTTTTAAATACTAACATTCAGTATTTAAAAATTTAAAAGAATGAAAACTCAGAAGCCACACTATAGTTTCAGACTTGAAGAAGTCTTAAAAATAAGTTGTTTTAAAATATCTACGGTAAGATTTTTCTGTGCACAAGTTAACTGGTATGTGTATGTATATATACATTATTTATATGTATATTTTGGAGCCAAGTCTTGCTCTGTCACCCAGGCTGGAGTGCAGTGGCGTGATCTCAGCTCACTGCAACCTCCGCCTCCTGGGTTCAAGTGATTCTCCTGCCTTGGCCTCCTAAGTAGTTGGGATTATCGGCATGCACCACCAGGCTGGCTAATTTTTGTATTTTAGTAGAGATGTGGTTTCACCATGTTGGTCAGGCTGGTCTTGATCTGCTAACCTCATGATACACTTGCCTTGGCCTCCCAAAATGCTGGGATTACACACGTGAGCCACTGCGCCTGGCCATTTTTTTTTTAAGAGACATGGTCTTGTTGTGTTACCCAGACTGGACTAGACCTCCTGGGCTCAAGCAATCCTCCTGCTTCAGGCTCCCAAGGAGCTGGCATTATAGGCACATGCCACAATGCCCAGCTGATATCCTTTCCTTTCCCTTCCCCTTCAACCAAACTTTCTTGACCTGTGTAACCAGCTGGAGTAAGGGCAGGGTACAGTGTAACAAAGTGGCTCAGCCAGAAGACTGATTACATATGTTGAGAATCAAGCAAATAAGTACATACACTGAGCAAAATGTGAGCAGGTTCCATACTGTTGGAGAGGGGAATTACAGAAAGTTAAAAATAAACCTTGTGGTACTGAACTGGAACTGAAGAAGCTAGTGTGATGTCATGGTAATTCAACATACATAGAGAAATAGACATTTTAGAAATGTAGAGAGATGTGTGCTTGTGTGTGTGTAGGTGTGTGTATGTGGATATGTATTTCCTATCCAAGTAGCAAAAAGGACACCTAGTATCCCTGTGTTCATTTCAATACTATTCTACACTAAAAGGAACGAGGGTTTCCTGGAGAAATGACTGATACCTGGGCTGGACAAGAATCATCCAAGATCAGCCTAGAACATCTTGTTCTATCATAGAGTCAGGAAGTGCTCAGAGAATTTCAAAAGGGCATGGGACATGTCCAAAGGACACAGGGGCCATCTTGAAAGAGGTCCCATTGGCCATGCTGCAAACGATCTGAGCATCAAACCAAATAATAGTAGTCAAAGACTGTAATCCTTTGAATAAAACAGAAATCCATGAATCTATACTAATATAAGTGAACAAATTTTAAAAAATAAATGCAGAAGGGAAAGCACTCTTTTGTAGCAGCAATTTGAAAGTATTTTTCCAAAAGTTCTTAATTAACTGTACACTGAAGAAACCATGCTGACATTGTATTAACCACCTGATAGAACCAAGCATCTCCAATAATGACACAAATTGATATTGTAGCATGCTTCCTAATACAGTGATACGGTAAGTACAGCACAGCAACATTTCTGTGCCAGTCCTGTCAAAAATGAATAAACTGAATTTAATTATGAAGGAACACAACACAAATTTAAACTGACTGACTTGTACTCACGAAAAGTCAAGGTCACATAAAACAAGGAAGAACTACAAAACTGTTGCAAGTTGAGATATGGCAACTAAATTCAACACGTGAAAGGACATCACTAGGGCAACTGGTAACATTTGAATGATATCTGGAAGATAATATTGGATTGTCGTTAAATTTCTGATGGTGATTATACTATGATACACAGGAGACTGTCTGTATTTTGAGAAAATGCACACTGATGCATTAAAGGGTAGTAATATGGCATCATGTCTGCAATTTATTCTCTAAATAAGGTCAGAAAAAAGTATAGTCACATGTACATAATTCAAGAAAATGGTAAGGTAAATGTGGGAAAGTGGTTAACACTTGAGAAATTAACGTGAAAGACTTATAGAAAGTATAATTTTTGCAAATTCTCTGTAAATTCCAAATTATTTCCAATAGAATTTGGGCTCCAATAAAAATACAGACTCATACCAATTTCCTTATCCATTTGGTCTGATGCAGACTGTAAATCCTGATGCTCTGACGACTGTGTTGGTGAAGAAGCTTCTTCGGTGGTGGTTTGACATTCTGTTTCAACCTCTCCTAACTCTCCTTCAATCATACTTGTGATTCCACGAACAAGGTCTAGCAAACAATGGAATGCCACAGACATAGCATAACCTTCAGGTATAGTTGGAGGCTCAACTTTGTCCAACATTTCTAAGCTGAAATTATGAAAAAGAATAGTAATGAGAAGCCACAGCAAAAAAAAACACATAAAACTGTCTACAATTTATGGACTATAGAAATTAAAATTAACAGAATAGCAAAAATAAAGGGACATTACCAAGTTTGTTTCATTTAGGGGAGGGATGTCTTCATGGTATTTTAATAACCTGAATAGAAAAATTAAGGCCTAACCACTGCCGTAACTATTTTAATAATTTACTTCTTGTTCTCCCCTGAGTTATGCCAATGTTTTCATTAAATATTAGATATTAGAAAAATAAAGACTGACATACAAAATATAATGAGATAGATTATAAAACTTCTCAAACTCTGACGTGTACTTTAAAAATAACATGCCATCAAATCAAATCACTCCTATGAAGAGTAAGATGCTTTTCACACCATGAGATGCCCAGCTCGCCTATCATTTCAAATACAATCTGCTAACAAAGTGAGAACAGTGTGTCAAGTTCAAACTGCAGAGCAACTTTTTGCCCCATAATTAGAAGAGAGTTTTCAGAAGGAAGGGCTATAAATCTGTTTTAAATCATGGCAGATAGTGAACTATGGTTCTAAATCTCTTAAAATTGGTATCTGGCAAAATAATTCCCAGAAAAAATAATAATTCAATTGACAAAGAACTAACGATTCTGGAACAACTGGATATTCACATGAAGAAGAGTGATGCTGGACCCCTATCTCACACCATATATAAAATTGACTCCAAAGTGAATCAATGACCTAAATGTAAGAGCTAATACTATAAAACTCTTAGAAGAAAACATAGGTAAAAATCTTCATGACCTCAGATAGGCAAAAGTTTGTTAGATATGACACCAAAAGCATAAGCAACAAAGGAAAAAATAGATAGATTTATCAAAATTAAAAACAATTGTACTTCAAAAAGCAGCAATCAAGAAAATGAAAAGATGCACAGAATGAAAGAAAACTTTTGCAAATCACATATCTGATAAGAGACAGGCTTCCAGAATATATAACTCTGAAAACTAAATAAGAAAAAGACAGTCCAATTAAAAAGGAGCAACGGGCCAGGCACGGTGGCTCACACTTGTAATCCTGGCACTTTGGGAGGCTGAGGGGGGTTAATCACGAGGTCAGGAGATCAAGATCATCCTGGTTAAGACAGTGAAACCCCATCTCTACTAAAAATGCAGAAAAAAATTAGCTGGGTATGGTGGCACACGTCTGTAGTCCCAGCTACTCAGGAGGCCGAGGCAGAAGAATCACTTGAACCCAGGAGCTGGAGGTTGCAGTGAGCCGAGATCATGCCACTGCACTCCAGCCTGGGCAACAGAGACTCTGTCTCAAAAAAAAAAAAGGAGCAACAAATCTGAATAAACATTTCTCCCAACATGACATATAAATGGCCAAGAAGCATACAAACATGCTTATCACCAGTCATTAGGGAATGCAAATCAAAGCACAGTAAGGTATCATTTCACAACCACTGGATGATGGCAATAAAAAAGATTAACAAGTATTGCTGAGGATGTGGAGATATTTGAACCCTCACACATTGTTGGCAGGAACATAAAATGATACAGTTGCTTGGGAAACAATTTGGCATTTCCTCAAAAATTTAAACATAGAGTGACCATATAAGCCAGCAATTCCACTACTAGTTGTATACCCAACAGAAATGAAAACACATGTCTATGCAAAAACTTGTAGACAAATGCTCACAGCAGTATTATTCATAATAAACAAAAGTAAAAATAACCCAATATGCATCAATTGATGAAAAAAGCCATTCCATACACTGGAATATTATTCAGACATATAAAGGAATAAAATGTGAACACATGCTGTAACACAGATGAACCTTCAAAACATTATGCTGATGTGGGAGCTAAAAAAGTGGATCTCATGAAGTTAGAAAGTAGATGGGTAGTTCCCAGGGGCCAGGAAGGGTGGAGGTTTGGGGGTGAAGACAGGTTGACGAATAGGTACAAAAATACAGTTATACAGGAAGGAATAAAGTTTAGTATCTAACAGTTCAGTACGGTAACTACAGTTAACTATAGTCTATTGCATATTTTAATATAGCCAGGACACAAGAATTCAAATGTTCCCAGCATAAAGAAAAATGTTTGAGGTGATAAGACAATTACCCTGATTTGATCACTACACATTATATAAATGTATCAAAATATCACCTATACCCTGGAAATATACATTTATTACATATCAATTAAAAAAATTATGTTGTGTCAAAGAAGCATGACACAAAAGGACATTTACTGTGTCATTCCAGTTATATGGAATATCCAGAATTGGTAAATCAATAGATGCAGAAAGCAGATTAGTGGCTGCTAAGGGGCTAGAAGGGGGATTTGGGAAATGATTGGAATGGGTATATGGTTTCTTTTAGGGGTGATAAAATTTTCTGGAATTAAGTAGTGATAATGGTTGTACAACTTTGCAACATAGTGCAACTATGAACTGTACAACTTAAAAGGGTGAATTTCATGGCATATGAAATTATCTCAAAAGTAAAATTGAAATTATTAAAGATTACAATAAAAAAGCTAAGAAAATTTCCTACCTCAAATTCTTAAAGTTTGTGAATCATCAAGGTAGGTAATTAATAAAGAAATGCTAATTTAGAAAAATGTAAGAATATCTATATATAGTGATCATTCACCAAGCAAATACTCTTAGCCTAGGACTCTACTTTTTGAATATGTATAATCTCATTTAACTCCTCACAAAAACCCTAAGAGACAGAGATAATAAAACTGAGGACTAAGATGACAGTTATTAATCAGCAGTTTTTTAACTCAAGTCTGACACTAAAGCCTAACACCAATGTGTCAACTCTTGAGCTTTTAAAAATTTATGTAATCATTAGAAATATATTTATATTATCGATCAAGAAATTTAAGCTCTAGAGCTGGAGGCCATTAGCAAACTAATGCAGGAACAGAAAACCAAATGCTACATGTTCTCACTTATAAGTGGGGGCTAAATGATAAGAACTTATGAACACAAAGAAGGAAACACCAGACACTGGGGTCTACTTGAAGGGGGAGGGTAGGAGGAAGGAAAGGAGCAGAAAAGGTAAACTATTGGGTACTGGGCTTAACACCTGGGTGGTGAGATAACACATACAACAAATACCCATGACACATGTTTACCTATTTAACAAACTTTCACACGTACCCCCAAATGTAAAATAAAAGTTAAAAAAAAAAGAAAGAAACTTAAGCTCAAATGGAGAGATAGAGTTTATGGATTTAATCTTTCCCAGGCCAGTTAGCCTTAGAGAGCCACATCCTGCATAAATCAGTGTTAAGCATCTCGTTAGATAAATTCCTGTTCTCAATGAATATGTGATCTATTAGGAAAATGTATCTAAAACATAAAATAATCCGAAACATTGGAAACTCTAATCCTCAAATTCTATGGCACAGACTTTAAGCACTACAATAGTTAACATTTAATTTATACTTTTTATTTATACCATGAACCTAAAAGAAAACACATACTTTCTTACCTCACTGTTTCAGTGCCACTTTATTAAAATGACTGCATAAATTCCACTTTTAGATAAAGTGTAATTTATTTGTTTAAACATTTTAAACTTAAGGTCAAATTGCAAAAACTGTCTCGAGTCCAACTTTGAAAGGATCTAAAGTGTAATAAATATGAAAGAACATGCCACCAATATTGATGTCAAAACTACTTCTATCTATACATCACTTAAGTTTTCAAATTATACTCAGTCAATAAAAGAACAGAATGCACAACCAAGATGTATAAGTATGCCTTTAAAGAAAATAGTGAAATCATTTTATATTCAACCTCACAATGAATGAATAAAAGATGCCAATTTAACAGTTAAGCTCCAATGTGAACATACTAACCCACGTACAAAATAGCACCCAATATTTTCTGGCTGTTTATTATTTCAGAATTAAGCAATTTCAGTATGTACCGCACTAAAAATAAAAATAAAAAATAAAAAAACTAAGCATATGTTCCTTTAGAGATTCAGTCCTAATCTTGTCTTAATGAGAGAAAATTAAGATCAAGTAAAATCAACTGCCATATTCAAAAATGACAGTATTTAGTAGCAGATCCAGTTAAAATCCAGCATAAATAATTTGTTTGTTGGCTTTTACTAATAAATTTTAAAAAGCAGTTCTACAATCCAGTCAAGTAGTTATTATGTTGTGGCTTGTTTCTATTTTTTTTTTTCCTTCCTCAAGCACACAGCTTTACTCCTTCCCTTTACGTGTCTGCTCAGTATTATCTCCTCCGGGAGACCCTTTCTGTCCCCATGTTCACAATGGTCATTCTCTATCCCCTTAACTTACTTTTTCTTCAAATTAATCACTACCCAAGGTTATACTATATATTTACTTGTGTCTTTATTTATTTACTATCTCACTCACTAAAGTGTAAGCTCTATGAAGGCAAGAATTTTCTCCTGTGTAGGAAGCAGAAAAGTTCCTCTTCAAAGTTTCCTTTCTTGTTAAAGAATAAATCCTAAGTGTTAGAAATAACAGTTTGTTTTAAAGACTAAAGCCTTCTTGCTTTTTGCTGATAACTCTTTGTTAAGCCCTATCCAATGTAGCTATCAGACATGGTCACAGGCACATGGTACATTCTACCTCCTTGTACTTTAACCAAGATATTTGTGCTAGACATGCTCACAGACATGTAGTACATTCTATGTCCCTATACTTTAACCAAGATATTTATGTTATTACTTTTCTAAGTCCTTTTGCAAGCAACTTTCTGTCCCTTCCTTATTTGGACTTCCTGTTTTACTTTTGTTCTCCATTGCCTTTACCTATTCAAGAAAGTTTTAAGTTATTAGCTAATTGGGTTCAGTTTTAGATTGTGAGGTCTGGCTCCAACCAACGGAGATCAGACACAGCAGTAAGGATGACCCCAAATGCGTAAGGGATAAATATGTCTGCTTTTCCTTGGTTTGTCGCACTCTCGTGGCAAGACTGCTGACGAGTGTACCCTTTCCAGAGAAAGTAAAGGTTTCCTTGCTGAGAGATCCTTTGTCCCAGTGTTGAGTTTTCTTTGCGGCACCGAAAATGTATATGTAACATCCTGTGTTGGTTTTTGTTCAGGTTATAAAATGAGGTGGGAAGGTGAACTAGATAATTAATGTCTCCTTTCGTGCTAGGTATCTGATTCTTTTACAACGTAATTATCTAGTGTACCTGAGTCATTACCTTTTGTCCCAAGGCAAAGTCTGTAAAATACTAAGTAGTTTTAATATAAATGACTAAAAATAACAATGAATTTTAATTAAAACATTTTAGTCTTCTGTAACTCTATACTTTTATAATTTTAGGCAAAATAAAGCTGCAAGGTAAAATATCACTAGGATGATACAATGTAGACAGACATACCATAGAAATTTATGATTTAAACTAGTCAAAGATTCTGTTTCACTTCTATTTTTTTTTAAGAGATAGGGTTTCGTGGTTACCCAGGCTGTACTCCAACTCCTGAGCTAAAGTGATTCTCCTGCCTCAGCCTCCTGAGTATGTTTCACATTAAGTCTTGATTTATGTCATAAACATTATTTTATTTTTAGACAGAATCTCACTCTGTCACCCAGGCTGGAGTGCAGTGGCATGATATCAGCTCACTGCAACCTCTGCCTCCCAGGTTCAAGGCATGATTCTCATGCCTCAGCCTCCCAAGTAGCTAGGATTAGGGATGCACAACACTAGCCCAGCTCATTTTTGTATTTTTAGTAGAGATGGGATTTTACCATGTTGGCCAGGCTGGTCTTGAACTCCTGACCTCAAGTCATCTGCCCATATCAGCCTCCCAGAGTGCTGGGATTACAAGGATAAGTCACTGTACGTGGCTAAGGATTTTTTTTTTTTTTTTTGAGACGGAGTTTTGCTCCTGTCGCCCAGGCTGGAGTACACTTCGGCTCACCACAACCTCCACCTCCCGGGTTCAAGTGATTCTCCTGTCTCAGCCTTCTGAGTAGCTGGGATTAAGGGCATGTGCCACCACGCCTGACTGATTTTTTGTATTCTTAGTAGGGACAGGGTTTCTCCACGTTGGTCAGGCTGGTCTCCAACTCCCGATCAGAGGTGTTCTGGCCGCCTTGGCCTCCCAAAGTGCTGGGATTATAGGCATGAGCCACTACATTTAATTATAAACACCAATTACTCAAAATATATCTGTGACTGCCTCACAGTAACTGCAGCAAGGTTAAAGACATGTAGTATTGACTGCCTTATTTCTGTAAGTACTGTATTTCATTAAAACTTTAAAAAAATCAGTAATACATCACTGAGTATGCACTTGCTAAATTGAAATGGCTAATGAAAAACAATTTAAAAATAAAAGATATGGAATCCATTAAGCACTTTTAATTAATTAAAAACTAAAATTTCCATGCATTAGTATGATTAGCTAAGCAATTAAAATAACTTTTCTTACACATAGAATTCTGAAAATGAGATATATCACTACTTCTATGGTATAGATGAGAGAAATGAGGTAAAAAGAAAAAAAAAAAAAGATTTTTTTTTGTAAGTAACTCAGCTAATATGAGAAGACCTAAGCCCAGGTGGTATGAAACTAATTCATATACTTAAACCAAAAAGCTGTATAGGAGAGCTAATAGGTCCATATGAAAAGAAATCACATTTTGTTTTACAATGCTGTTTAGTCTACAAACAGAACAAAAGAAAACAAAATCCAGTCCTAGATACAATTTTCAAAATACAACAAAAGAAAATGAGTTCTAAAATGCATCAGAAATACTGAGTCTAAAATTTAAAATATTATATAGAGAGAAGCATTTTATGTTAAATATCACCCCCAACAGCATCATTCCTTATAAAATAATGCTACTACTACTTACTAGGTGGCTTTAGCACTGCCTTGAACTGTGATTGTCAGAATAGGTATCCAGGTTCCCCTATATTCAAATGCTGGTAGCAAAGTAACACCTCCACCAATCCCCACCATTCCTGAGTTAGCTGGTGCTGAGACTGAGCCACCTAAATTATTGTTTCCTGTTAGAGAAGAAGGGGAAAAAAAGGAAAGATACTAATTTACTACTTGACTACAAATCAGTAATATTCAAACACCTGGCCAATCTTCAAAAAAAAAAAGTCTATACTATCAGAATGGGTACACAGAAATAAATGAAATCAGTACTATTTTGTCCATTAGAGAGTCTTTCTATTTCCCTAAAATACCATTTCCCTTTTTAAAATAAAAGCTACCAGAGGAAGTAAAAATGCTGATAAATGTTTAGCCTATCTTTCATTAGACCACTTTTTATCAGAAGTGGGAATAAAGTATAAAAAACCATCATTCAGTAAAAAGTGGAAGAAAAGAAGGTAAAAGGAAACAACAAACCATACAAATTCCCAAACAAACTTCAACCATGTTAACCCCTTTAGAGAGAGGCTAAGGCTTCTAAGGTGGTAACCATTTAGACTCTTAAAGGGAGTCATAAAATAAAGATTCTTTTAAAAATGAAGATTAGCATCTAAACTTTTGTTCTTATGTAAGCAGATAAACTGAAAGTATGTCAGAGAAGAAAACCTATTCTGGAAAGAAAGAAACACAACTGCTTCAGTGAGATCAGATTATTCTTTAAGTGTAATTATTTACTATCAACATATTTAGGTAACCCAAATTTCTCTATCACAGGATTTCTATATAACATCCTCTCAGAACAGTCAATACTGTAACTTATGGCAGAATATATGAAACAGAATTATGAATATGTTTTTACCAGCTTGGTTGCTTGTAGCAGGATTTCCAGTAGCGGGGACAAGAAACAAGGACTGTATAAAAGATCCCAGTGCATTTACAATATCACGAAAAACCTTGGTAGAATGCTGTTTCATATCATAGGACTGACAAAATGATCTGTAAAATAATTTAAAATGTTTCTTAGAAAAACATTGGAGGGTATTAAAAATTTTAAACCTTTTCATAACAAGTGACATTACTATAAGTTACCATGCTATACTCAAAAACTCTTCATTACACTTGAGTGATTTTACTAATTTAGGACAAAGGTTCAGATTGAGGTCATGATTCTATAAATTATTTTGGCTATACTAAATTGGTAAATTCAGACTGAAGTCTATCACTCACCACATGTGTCTACCTCACAGTTCTTTTCCACATCTATACCCCCACCCCTCCTTATAGATCCTATTCTCCTCATTGATCCTATTTTCTTTGTTTAGAAATCACTAATACTGGGAATAAATACCAAAAGTGTTCCCACTAGTTTATTAACCTATTATAGGCTAGTTTACAAGTCAATAAACATTCACCTTTCTATCTAACAAACTATTGCAGAGGTTTTACCTTAGTAGTTGGGGCTGCACACAAAATCTGTGTATTGATTCCACTGCAACAGCTCGTAGCCACTGTGGTTTATCTGCATCCAGAAATTTCACCAGAAGTGACAGAAATATCTCACATTCAGTTACCTAGAAATATATGATTTTTTAATATTATTTCTTTGAATCAAATACAAGAATTATAGACTGTGTTCTTGTTCTTAACTTAATGCTATGGACAAACCAATAAAATCTTTTAGATTAGAAATCAAACTCTTAATGAGGAGTGGAGAAACAGAGAAAGGAAAAGTAGTTGTATATAGAAATGTTAACAGTAAAAATAATCACGGTATTTCTCTAAATATATTCCTGAAAATACTAGTAATATGCTAACACGGTTAATCCTTTAACCTTGCTCTTTTGAAAGCAGAGAATATCATCATGCTATCTCCATTTCTAAAAACTGCCAGATAGCATGTACCACATAAACTGTTGACAGGATGCATGTTCTACTCTTCAGAGCAGTTTTTCCATACTTTCTTTTGCTGCTAAGGAAACAAAGAGGCAAGCCAAAGGGTGCTTAGCATAAATTTTGTAGTAGAAAAATGAGGAACCTACAGCAGTTGATAGATGTAACTCTTAGAACAAGGCCTGTACTGCTGATTAATTATCATTACTGTTGTTGTTAATATAGAACATTTTCTCAGCAGGCTCTTTAAAAATAAATAATGTTCAAGGCACACTCAAAGCATTATTCATTGTATGTCTGATAGCTGAATGAATGAACAAACAAAAGCTAACCAGTTTATTCAAAGGTAAATGGACTGTTTTTGTTACTTACTAATTGATGACACAGCAAGACCTCTGGGAGGTAAAAATTAAGCTGACATAGTGATTACTAGGCCAAATTGATTCTTGCTAACAGGTGCAGCAAGTTACTGGATGTTTTAGCTGGGGTATCTCAAAATGAGTGAACCATAATGTGGGACAAGAAATTTAGGGAAATATAGTAGCCCTCAGGTTTTTAGCGCAAAGTCTTAGTATTTTCTGATGTCTTTCAGTATCTTTAACTGGATGCTTAAAAGCAGGACATAATCATAATGACACAGGAGGAATAAATAAAAATATTATCACTTAGACTACTAATGATTGGGAAGTATATGCAGAGGTTTAGCATTGCCCTAAACAAGTAAAGCTTAGTTTAAAAGAACCAGATCAGAACTCAGGTGGCTCAGCTTCTTTATCCAGCAATCTTGCAGATGAGGACAAGCGTGGTTGCCTTTTTTATAAATAAAGGGTGAAAATATCTACATCTTCCTGGGAAATCAAATGAGAAAAATGTAAGAAAAAACACCCCCTAAACATGATAAAGTGTCATGCAAATGAAGAGAGCTTTATTTTTTCCTAAACAAAGTGACCCCTCTTTAGAGAAAGAACTGAAAAAGAAAACCATGCTAGTGATTCATTGGACAACAGCTCTTTCTATTGGAGGGTTTTAATATTAGTAAGTCCTTCATCAAATGCAACATCAGCTTTAGAGTGTAAGTGGCATATAAGGTTCATCAGCTAAGCTTTGAGGCAAGAATATAAAGGATCTCAGAAGCATCAAGTATATCCCAGCCAAAGGAATAATACTTTCATAAAACTTGCCTTGAAAAGTATGTCATTTTTTTCTCTATGACACAATGATTATAATACAAACCAATCATTTATCAAATTATGCTGCAGTCACTAAAATGTTGTGATTTGAGCCTCTTTCCTGAAGTCTGGAACCTTGTTCTCCTTTTGTTTCTTCTTGTCAAGTATGAAAGTTTGAGCAGAGAACTAGTGTTGAGAGCACTGGGGCCTCAATGGACAAAACCTCCAGTCAATCTGTTAAGTCTTTCCCCCAAGAGGCTGCACTCAGAAGCAAACAGGTTTTCCGATTAGCATTTACGGTGTAAATCTCACTTTTGTGACCCAGATACTTCATGAACTTCACTATACCAACATGAAGGGTAATGAATGTTTTTGAACTAGTTTTGGTACTAGATTATCATCTAGATGTCAAGAGATATCTGATGGCTTAAGATGAATCAAAGTTACTAAGCAGACATTCTAATCTCAATAACACATAGAGTCTAATAAAGAATGCTGTACATAAGTGCTGGCTTGGGGGACAATGAAGAAAATCTGGTAGTACATTCATGCAGAAGTCCATTTTTTCAGGAGCTTGTCGGGATTAACAACCTTGGAGCTAATGGATTTGTTAGTGATAAGATCTTTTGTCTGTGAAGAAGTAGAAAATTAGTTTGGACAAGACAATTTAGCCTCATTCATTCCTTTCCAAAACCGGTTTAAGTCAAGGGCAGAAAAGAGATATGCTAGCCTCTTTTTTTGAGACAGAATTTCACCCTGTCACCCAGGCTGCAGTACACCGGCTCAATCCTGGCTCACTGCAACCTCCACCTCCTGGGTTCAAGTGATTCTCATCCCTCAGCCTCCTTGAGGGATTTATTTATTTTAGGTCCTGGTCTCTCTGTCTTGGATCCCCAAGTGTCACTCCCTCCCAGCATTCCCCTCCCACCACCCACCCCCAGTATCACCAGCTGAGGTGATTTCAGGGACCAACAGGGACACAAAGGGCTGAGTGATTGGAACGGTGGTGTGCTGCCAGAGATGGCAGACAGCCAGGGCATCCCCAGCACCTTTCTGCTCTGGAACGTTATGTTACCTGCCAGAGTGTTCTGAACGGTAGCACCCTCTCTCCCACATGGCTATTTATTAAATGACCACTTCCTCTTGCAAAAAAAAAAAAAAAAAATGAAAGCATATGTATGGAAACACCTGTATGCCCAGGCAAAAGTTTGCTGTAGGGACAGGACCCTCACGGAGAACCTCTGCTAGGGAAATGCAGAAGGGAAATGTGGGGTGAGAGCTCTCACACAGAGTCCCTACTGGAGCACCACCTAGTGGAACTGTGGGAAGAGGCCCACCATCCAGACCCCAGAATGACAGATTCACCAACAGCTTGCACCATGTGCCTGGAGGAGTCACAGACACTCAACAGCAGGCCATGAAAGAAGCCAGAAGTGAGGTTGTATCCTGCAAAGCCACAGGGGTGGAGCTGCCCATGACCATGGGAACCAACCTCTTGCATCAACATGATTTGGATGTAGGACATGGAGACGAAGGAGATTATTTTGGAGCATTAAGATTTGAATGCCCTGCTGGATCTTGGACTTACACGGGGCCTGCAGCCCCTTTGTTTTGGCCACTTTCTCCCACTTGGAATGGCTGTATTTACCCAATGGTTTTACCTCCACTGCATATAGGACGTAACTAACTTGCTTTTGATTTTACAGGCTCATAGACAGAAGAGACTTGCCTTCTCTCAGATGGGACCCTCTGGACTGTGCCCTTTTGAGTTAATGCTGAAATAATTTAAGACTTTGAGGACTGCTGAGAAGGCATGATTGGTTTTGAAATATGAGGACATGAGACTTGGGAGGCCAGGGGTGGAATGATATGATTTGGCTGTGTACCCACCCAAATCTCATCTTGAATTCCCATATGTTGTGGGAAGGACCTGGTGGGAGGTAATGAATCAAGGGAGGCAGATATTTCCCATGCTGTTCTCATGAGAGTGAAAAGTCTTATGAGATCTGACGGTTTTAAAAGGGGAGTTTCGGTCAGGTGTGGTGGTTCACGCCTGTAATCCCAAAACTTTGGGAGGCCAAGGCGGGCAGATCATGAGGTCAGGAAATTGAGACCATCCTGGCTAACAAGGTGAAAACTCGGCTCTACTAAAAATACAAAAAATTAGCCAGGCGTGGTAGTACGTGCCAGTAGTCCCACCTACTCAGGAGGTAAGAGAATCGCTTGAACCCAGGAGGCAGAGGTTGCAGTGAGCCAAGATTGTGCCACTGCACTACAGCCTGAGCGACAGAGCAAGACTCTGTCTCAAAAAAAAAAAAGCGGGGGCGGTTGGGATTTCCCTGCATAAACTCTCTTCTTGTCTGCCACCATGTGAGATGTGCCTTTCACCTTCTGCCATGATTGTGAGGCCTCCTCAACCACATGGAACTGTAAGTCCAAAAAACCTCTTTCTTTTGTGAATTGCCCAGTCTCGGATATGTCTTTATCAGCAGTGTGAAAACTAATACAATTCTGTTGACTGCTTTCTTTGAGGTGTGGAAGTTTTTAAGTCTGATGTAGTTCCATTTGTCTATTGTTGCTTTTGTTGCCTATGCTTTTAGTATCGTAGTCAAGAAATCACTGTGAAATCCAATGTCATAAACATTTTCCCATTTTCTTTTAGAAATTTTTTAGTTTTAGGTCTTATATTTAGTTCATGAATCCATTTTGAATTATTTTTTGTACATGGCATAAGGTAAGGGTCCAACCTCATTGTTTTCCATGTGGATATGCAGTTTTCACAGCATAATGGTTAAAGAGACTATCCTTTCTCCACTGAGTAGTCTTGGCATCCTTTTCAAAGATCACTTGACCATATACGTGCGAGTTTATTTTTGGGCTCTCTATTCTGTTCCATGGGTCTTTGTGTGTGTCTTTATGCCAGTACCACTTTATGCTATTATGATTACTGTAGCTTCCTAATATGTTTTGAAATCAGGGAGTGTGAGGCTTCCAACTCTGTTCTTTTATCTCAAGATAATTTCAGCAATTCGTGGTCCCTTGAGATTTGATATAAATTTTAGGATGGTTTCTTCTACTTCTACAAAAAGTGCTGTTGGAATTTTGATAGGAACTGCATTTAATTGATAGATCTCTTTGGATTGTATGAATATTTTAACAATTTTAAGTCTTTTAATCACGAACACTGGATGTCTTTCCATTTCTTTGTGTCTTTAATTTCTTTCAATAATGTTTTATAGTTTTCAGTGTATAGGTCTTTGGCCTGCTTGGTTAAGTTTACACCTAAGTATTTCATTCTTTTTGATAATTTACAATGAAATTGTTTTCTTAATTTCTTTCTGGAATTGTTCATTGTTAGCATACAGAGACATAACTGATTTCTGTGTGTTGATTTTTATCTTGCAAATTTTGCTATGTTTATTAATTCTTAGTTCTAACAGCTTTTCTAGTGTGGAATATTTAGGGTTTTCTACATATAACACTACATTTGCAAACAGAGATAATTTTACTTCTTCCTTTCCAATTTGGATACCTTTTATTTCTTTTTCATTCCTAATTACTCTGGCTAGCAGTTCCAGTACCATGTTTAATAGAAGTGGCAAGAGTAGGCAATTTTGCCTTGTTCCTGATCTTAGAGGGAAAGCTTTCAGGTTTTCACCACTGAGTGTGATATTAGTCATTGTCTCTTCATAAATGGCATCTATTGGGTTAAGGTAGTTTAGCTCTATTCCTAGTTTGTTGAGTGTTTTTATCTTGAAAGGATAAATTTTGCCAAATGTGTTTTCTGCATCAAGTGAGACGATCATGTGGTTTTTATCTTTCATTCTTTTAAGGTAGTGTATTATATTGACTGATTTTTGTATGCTGAAACATCCTTGCATTCCAGGGATAGACACCACTTGGTCATGGTGTAGAATCCTTTTAATATGCTGTTGAATTCAGTTTCCTTGTACTTTCTTGAAAAATTTTTTATCAGTATTTATTAGGGATCTTGATCTGTTTTCTTTCCTTGCAGTATCTGTGTCTGGCTTTGGTATTAATGCTGGCCTCATAAAACAAGTTTGGAAGTGTTCTCTCCTTTTCAATTCTTTGGAGTTTGTTAATTGTTCTTTCAATGTTTGGTAGAATTTTTCAGTGAAGCCATCTGTTCTTGGTCTTTTCTTTGTTGAAAGGTTTTTGAGTATTAATTCAATCTCCATACTAGTTATAGGTCTGTTTAATTTTTTTTCTTGTGATTCAGTTTCAGTAGTGTTAGACACAAAAAGAAGTTCCTCTTCAAAGGGTTTAGTTTATTTGGTTCTCTTGTTCTTTGTTCCCCACTTCCAAGACAGGACTTCCTTATCCTTTCTGCCTCCCTGCCCTAGTATCAGTAAACAACTTTCCTGCTGGTCCTACTCTACAGAGCCCACATCTACTACTCACTCCGTAAATTGACCCTCCTGCCACAACTGCTCTTCCCACCACAATGCGTCTTCCCGCCAAAACTGCCCTTCCTTCCTCATCCTGCACACTCCTGTGCTCTTCAAGTTAGCCAGTCAGGTTCAGCTTAAATTGTGTGGTCAACTCCAGCCAATGGAGACAGAACACAGTAGCAAGGACAAACTGCATTAGAAACAAAAACCTCTTCCCTTCTTTGTTCAGTGTGCTCTCATGGCGATCAGCCCTGCGAGCAGTACCCTTCTGCAGAAGCAAATTTGCCTTGCTAAAAAATCCTTTACTGGAGTACTCATTTTCTTTGCGATTCTGAACTTTTACTCCCAACAATTTGGGAGCTTGCCCAGGATTCCCATTCTCCTTTGGGAGGGGCCAGCGATCACCTATTAGGAGAAGACGCGTCCTGCTGCCTCATTGCAGTGGTCTCACCAACAGGAGATCAGGTTCCACCTGGAGTGATGAATAAACCCAGACTCTCAGCAACATGGGTGGAAAGGATCCTTACATACTGCGGTGACCAGGCAACTCTGTGCACAAACCAAGGTACAAAATGTCACAGGGGCAACAAAATATTTTCTTGGTGGTCAGGGTATCTTGGAGGTTGACAGTGTGTGAGCGAGACACGCAATCTGAGGGCAAGAAATCTCTAATACAAGGAATTCAGCCTCATACCAAACCTCCAAGATAGGAAAAGCAAAAAGTCTCCAGTAAGGGGAGTTGAGCCTTTAGGAAAGGGGAAGGCAAGAAATCTCTAATACGAGGGGTTGAGTCTGACCAGCACTCAGGATGGGAAATGTACAAGTAAGGCAAGGAATGAGAAGGATAAAACTAATAGCAATAATATTCCCCCAATAGTCCCCTAGGTCTCATATTAAAATATTAGAAGGGTAATGAGAGAACTAAATACACACACACACACACACAAGTAAAATATTATTTCATTTGGACTCAAAAAACAATCCTCAAACCCTCAGTTTTCTGGTCAAAGTTTGGGGTCAAATGAGGGTTGGATTTGTCAGCTTTTAATAAAATATGTTAATGACAAGAGTCCTGTCTCCCAGGAGAAAATAGATTATGCCCTGTGCCATTGGCAAGGGTCTGTCCTCCTTTACCCCCTAACGACTGCAGGAAGTAAGCCAAAAGCCAACTCCTTTAAGATGAATAAAGTCCCTACCCCTGAACAGTCCACCAATACATGGGACCCCCTAGACCACCTTCCCCTGCCTAACACCCCTGACCCTAACTTCCCTCCCCCTCAAGCCGAGACAGTCTGCCTGCGCTGCAGAGCCTGTCAGAGCTTCACAAAGAGTGTGAAGGGAACCACCCCTCTGCTAGGAAACTCCCACCCCAGAGGAAGGCATCCACAGTTTCCAGTGTTACTCAGGTAAAAGTTGTTAAGAACGCTTACAAATGTGGCTCTGGCATGCAGAGAGCAGAAGACAGCAAGAGCATAAAGACACACCAGACACAGCCTGGCATCCAGAGATGCCAGGGACATCTGGCAGAGAACAAGGGACAAAGCCCGGTATAGACTTTGGTATAGAAAAGAACTCGTTAACTGGTGAAGAAACTGTTTATTTATAAATGTGTACAGTTTTGTTTTCTTGTAATAGAGACATCATAGGGTTATTTCATACCAATTGCAACGTTTTCATTGTTTTTGTTTTCTTTTTTTACTATCAAAGATATACAGATTACTGTTAAATTACAGTCTTTTTTTTTTTTTTTTTTTTTTTGAGACAGAGTCTCACTTTCTCACCCAGGCTGGAGTGCAGTGGTGCGATCTCGGCTCGCTGCAACCTCCACCTCCTGGGTTCAAGCAATTCTCTTGCCTCAGCCTCCCAAGTAGCTGGGGTTACAGGTGCCCGTCACCACACCTGGCTGATTTTTTGTATTTTCAGTAGAGACGGGGTTTCACCATCTTGGCCAGGCTGGTCTTCAACTCCTAACCTCGTGATCCACCCACCTCGGCCTCCAAAAGTGCTGGGATTACAGGTGTAAGCCACCGCACCCGGCCTCCCACAGTCCTTTTTTTAAAGATATTTTCTTAAATTATTTAAAACGTACAAGTCTAGTATTTTTAATCAAACAAAATATTTATAAAATGGGTTTTCTCTTAATTCTAAATTCATCATGAGTTTCTAATACCAACTGTAATATTTAGAGTATTCACCAAAACTTAGAATTTTACAAATACTAGAATTCTACCAGTGTTTCTTTAATAAACCTTACATAAAAAATTAAAATTTTAACAATGGCACTCAAAAATCTACATAAAATGTATATTTGGAGTATTTCAAAATTCACACTAAACCATAACTTCCTTAGGAAAAAAAACTATAAGCCTAAGTATGGTTTAATGTTAAGAACTAAAATGCTTTATATTAGTTTTTCACTGTACGTTATGAGCTTAAAAGAAAGAGAAAAAAAGCAGTTTTGTCTTTAAGTAAAATGTCTGCTTGTGCCAGACATTTCACAAGTATGAAAGAAAATAAGAAAAACTCAACTTAACGGCATATAATAAGTTGTACAAAGCTCAAAAGAAGGTGGGCTTATTTGCCTTGGTCTGCAATACCTGCGAATAATGAGTTTAACAAGAAACAATAAAATGTGTTAAAAATTTGACCATATTACAGCAATTTAGTAAATTTATTCATAAGATAAAAACAACTGCTAAATCTTTTATTACAAAATCTTTCTTTTAAAAGCTGAGGGAATAACTTCACAGATCAAATAGCCAAACTAATTGCCGTTTCCTCTGAAACACCAGTTTTTCACCTAACCCCTCATCTTCCTCCCCTTACTACAATCCTCATTTGCTCTTCTGCAGAAAAGAAAAAATTCATAGGAGTCAGAAAAAAAAAAAAAAAACCCAAAAGAAAAAGGGAAGTTACCAAAGAAAAATGTTTATCTAAACTCCTCAAGAGGGAGGTCTTGTCTCAACTATATCAGGAAACCCACTGGGGACCCCATGCTATGTGTAATACAGTTCTCAAAGTCTATTGGTGTATAAAACTTTATACCTTAGCCAAACAAGTTACAGATAGTTACTTAATATGTAAAAAAACTAGTAAACAAACCCTAAAAGAAAAAAATCACCCTTGACAGGAAGGGATCCATGACTAAAACCATTCCCAAATATTCAAATTAACTATACTAAATTGCCCCAATTAGTCTCCTGAGATACTTGTAAATAATAGGAGACCACTTTCCCCACTGGGTAGAGGCTATCTCCTTCTCAAATTCAACTGCCAGTAATGTAGTTAAAAGATTAATCAAAAACATCATACCTAAGTTTAGACTAATAAAAAACATTAATTCATACAATGAAACCCATTTCACTGCACGTCATTAAAAAGCCCAAGTGCTAGACATAAAATGGAAATATCATATTCCTTGACATCCACCTTCCTCAGGAAGTGTAAAAAAAATAAACCAAACTCTGAAAGGTCACCTAACCAAATTAGTCTTAAAGACTCGGTTCCCTAGACTAAATGTCTCCCCATTGCCTTGATAAAAATCAGAACCATGCGTCAAAAAGATATCAACTTATCCCTCTATAAAATGCTATATGGATTACCTTATTTATATTCCAATACTGACATTCCTACATTTAAAACAAAGGATCGGTTACTCAAAAATTATATGCTTGGTGTATCTTCTACTTTCTCTTCCCTTAAACCAAAGGTCTCCAAGCACAGGTGCCACCCCTGGAATTCCCAACATCAACATCAGCCTAAAAAATCACATCCTCATCAAAGGGTGAAAAAAAGAAAAACTCAAACCAGCTTGGAAAAAAACCCACCTGGTACTCCTAACTACTGAGAAAATAAACTCATCATACCCAGTAACAAGGGCAAACTACAATAAAAGTAAAAACCTCTTCCCTTCTTTTTTCAGTGTCTTCCCGTGGCGACCAGCCCTGCAAGCAGCACTCTTCTGCAGAAGCATATTTGCCTTACTAAAAAATCCTTTACTTGAGTACTCTTTTTTTCTTTGTAACTCCAAGCTTTTATTCCCAACAAGTAGGTTGTATGTTTCAAGGAATTTATTCATTTCTTCTAGGTTATTCTATTTGTTGGCACATAATTCTTCCCAGTAGTCTTTTATGATTCTTTTTGATTTCTTATTTCTGTGGCATCAGTTATAATGTCTCCGCTTTCATTTCTGATTTTAGTTGAGTATTCTCTTTTAGTCTAGCTAACAGTTTCATTTTCTTAATCTTTTCAAAAAAACAACTCTTATTTTCATTGATTCTCTCTACTGCTTTTCTATTCTCCATTTGGTTTATTTATATGGTATTCTTTATTGTTTCCTTCCTTCTCCTAACTAGTATATTGCTTAATTTCCATACATTTGTGACTTTTCTCATTTTGCTTCCACCATTGATTTCTGGTTGCATTCCATTATCGTCACAGAAAATACTTGGTATGATTACAATCTTCTTTAATTTGTTGAGACTTGTTTTATGGCCTAACATGTGCTCTATCCTTGAGAATAATCTACATGCACTTGAAAAGAATGTGTATTCTGCTGATGTTAGGTGGAGTGTTCTGTATATGTCTGTTGGATCCAACTGCTCTACAGTGTTCTTCGAGTCTTTTGTTTCCTGATTACTCCTATGTCTGGTTGTTCTACCTTTATTGGAAGTGGAGTATTAAAGTCTCCTACGATTATTATATTGTCTATTTTTGTTAATTTAAAATAAGAATATAGGGTTGGGTGCAGTGGCTCATGCTTCTAATCCCAGCACTTTGGAAGGCCAAGGTAGGAGGATCACCTGAGGTCAGGGGTTCGAGACCAACCTGACCAATATGGTGAAACACTGTCTCTACTAAAAATACAAAAATTATGCACCTGTAGTCCTAGCTACTCAGGAGGCTGAGACAGGAGAATTGCTTGAACCCAGAGGGTGGAGGGTGCAGTAAGCTGAGATTGTGCCACTGCACTCCAGCCTGAGTGACAAAGCAAGACTCCATCTCAAAAAATAATAATAAATAAAATAAGAGTATAAATGTGAAAAAATTACACAATGCTGAATTTGACTTAACACAAAATTTAAAAAACATAGTGCATTATTTTTTCTGAGAAACAGTATGTGAATGTTTAAAACTAAAGCATTACATAAATAGAATTATCAGGAATATCACAACATAATAGGCATTCATTAACTTATGCAAAATAGATGAAATATTGGACTGTATGTCAGAAGAATTGGTTTCTAATCCTAGATTTGACCAAATCTTTAATGTCTTTGGTTTAATCTGTTAGGACATACAAAATAGTATAAATGAAAGCAGCATAAACTGAAGGGACTATAATGTTAATAATTCTTCAAATGAGATACAGATAATTAGTTAAGAAGCTGAGTTCCTAAACCACAATTCCTATGCTGCCTTCAGATGACAGGCTATGACTCTGCTTCACACATTATGAATACTACATAAACATTCAAGAAAGGACAGAATGAACCTTCAGAGTACCTGGAATTCATGTAGGTACTCAAAAAAAAATTCTGTTGAACTGAATTGAAAAACTAAATGCACAATAACAGACCACTTTTTAAAAGGCACAATATGCTACTATATACACAAACACATAAGGAAATTAGCACTTACCAAAAGACTGTAAAATTGCTTAATCAGAACAGATACTACTCTCAGCAAACGCATGCAGATGGGAAAATACGGTTTTTCAACTGGTGCTGGAGAGGATGAGGTGCTGGAACCTTGTCTGAACTTTATATTTGGAGAAAAGAGCTTTATCACAAGGGGACATACCCTTTCTTTGAGGAGGAAACTAAATTCTTGATGCTATTTGCAAGGAAAAAAGAAAGAAAAAAGATTAACTTTATACTTCTCACTAGGAAATAAGACTTCCTAATTATCAGTATTAATAATTTAGCTTTATAGAAGTTCATATATTTTATAGTTTACACACAACTTTGAAATTCCCATTGCACTGAGAGAGTCTAAAATCAGAATAGTCATCAGAGCCCAGCATGGTGGCTCATACCTGTAATCTTAGCATTTTGGGAGCCCAAGGTGGGAGGACGGCTTGAGCCTGGGAGTTCAAGATCAGCCTGAGCAACATAGTGAGACCCCATGTCTATAAAACTACAAAAAAAAATTTAAAAATTTGTTGGGTGTGGTGGCACACACCAATAGTCCCAGCTATTTGTGAGGCTGAGGTGGAAGGATTACTTGAACCCAGGGGGTCAAGGCTGCAGTAAGCCGTGATCATGCCACTGCCTTCCAGTCTGGGTAACAGAGCAAGATGCTATCTCAAAATGATAATAATAATAATCATCATCATCAGTATTTCAAGAAGCTTTTAAAAGAATATAACTTCAAAAGGAACATTTAATGATAACATAATTCAGTAATCGGTGATTACTGGAAATTTAATTTAGTTGGACACTGGTAATTAAAAACATAAACAACAGAGGAAAGAAAACAAAGCCAGGCATGGTGGCCCAGGCCTGGAATCTCGGCACTTTCGAAGGCTGAGGTGGGAGGATTGCTGGCACCCAGGAGCTCAAGACCAGCCTGAGCAACACAGGGAGACCCTGTCTCAACAACAACAACAACAAAAATTAGCTGGACGTGGTGGCACTGTCTGCAGTCCCAGCTACTTGGGTGGCTGCGGTGGGAGGATCACTTGAGCCCAGGGAGGCTGAGGCTGCAGTGAGAGATCACATCACTGTACTCCAACCTGGGCAATGGAGTGGGAACCTATCCCACAAAAAAAAAAAAAAGAAAAAAAAAAGAAGAAAAAGAAAACAGGCTATACAAATTCAAGCAGATAAAAAATTTAAAATAAGCTGAGGAGGGAAAATTTACTAATAAAGTATAAGTTATAGAATTCATTGATTTCATTTTGCAAAGAACAATTTTATTCATGTAGAGATTTAATAATTAACTTAAAATTTTGTTCTGCTTGGACTGCTTGAACAGAATATCAGCTGATAAAACATGCAATGACAAACAAGCATAACTATTTTACAAGTCAGGGAAGGGAATCTTGCAAATAATTCTTAAATTTTACTTATAGTTATGATATGCTACAAAGAAAGCATTCCTTAACCTGTTAATTCCCTGCCTGTATTAGCCAAGAATAATCCCACTTCACTGACAATGTAAGGCCTACTCTGTATTTAATGACAAGCCTCAATATATTTTATTTTGTTGTGGTCATCCAAATTTCATGGAAGTTATAAACAAAGAGAAAATCATAAAACCATTTGACCTAATCTTTTAATTTTACAGAGAAGGAAAATAAAGCATCGAGCAGATTGTTTGGTCAGATCACAAAATTTTTTAAATGATTTATTTATTTATTTACTCTTTGAGACAGAGTTGCACTTTGTTGCCCAGGCTGGAGTGTAGTGGCACGATCTCGGCTTACTGCAACCTCCGCCTCAGGGGTTCAAACAATTCTCCTGCCTCAGTCTCCCAAGTAGCTGAAATTACAGGTGTGCACCATCATGCTGGCTAATTTTTGTGTTTTTAATAGAGACAGGTTTTCATCATGCTGGCCAGGCTGGTCTTGAACTCCTGACCTCAGGTAATCTGCCCATCTCAGCCTCCCAAAGTGCTGGAATTACAGGTGTGAGCTACTGTGCCCGGCCTAAATATATCTTTAAAAAAAAGGCAGAAAAAAAAGTCATTCAAGAAAGAAAATCTGAAAACAGATAAATAAAAAGATAAAAGTCTTGCCTAATCTCACCTCCCGGAGATAAGTGGGCTAGTTGTTAACTTCCATATGTATACTCTTCCAGAGTTTTATAAATATCTTAATATACTTTTTCATTCTTTCCCCCAAAATGAGATCTTAAGAGCTAAATGATTTCAAGTTATACTCTCACATCTACAGTTAGTTTCTTTGACTGCCAAAATGAAAAGTCCACTTTCACGTTTTACAAAAATAATTATTTTGTATATTAGTTAATGTATAAACATACCAGCAATTTTTAAAAGTTTTATCTGGCCGGGTGCAGTGGCTCATGCCTGTAGTCCCAGCACTTTGGGAGGCAGAGGTGGGTGGATCATGAAATCTGGAGTTTAAGACCAGCCTGACCAAAATGGTGAAACCCTGTCTCTACTAAAAATACAAAAAAATTAGCCAGATGTGGTGGCAGGCGCCTGTAATCCCAGCTACTCAGGAGGCTGAGGCAGGAGAATTGCTTGACCCTGGGAGGCTGAGGTTGCAGTGAGCTGAGATCATGCCATGGCACTCTAGCCTGGGCAACAGAGCAACACTCCATCTCAAAATTAAAAAAAAAAAGTTTTATCAATTCACTGTTTCCTTCTCACTACTCAATTCACTACAGTCGGGTTTCCTCAGTCACTACCACCAACCAACCCAATTTTACTTCTCCACTTCTCATTATGCTCATCATGATCTCTGAGGCTAAAAGCAAACACGTTCCAGCCTTTCCAGTCTGCATCTTACTAGATCTCTTTGTTTTTGTTTTGTTTTGTTCTGTTTTTGAAACAGGATCTTGCTCTGTCACCCAGGCTGGAATGCAGTGGTATGATCGTGGCTCACTGTAGCCTCGTCTTCCTGAGATCAAGCAATCCTCCAACCTCTCAGCCTCCCAAGTAGCTGAGACTACAGGCATGTGCCACCAAGCCCAGCTGATTTTTTTTTTTTAATTTCTAAGAGATGAGATCTCACTATGCTGCCCAGGCTGGTCTTGAACTCCTGAGCTCAAGCTCTGCCCACCTCAGCCTCCCAGAGTGCTAAGATTACAGGCATGAGCCACTGCATCTGGCCTACCAGATCTCTGTGAACCACCTGATATAACTGATTACTTGCTTCACCTTAAAACCTTCTTTGTTTTATCTTTTATTATGTCAGACTCTCTTAGATTTGTTCTTGCCTTCTGGCCTTGTGTTCTCAATCTCTTGTATGTGCTCAACCTCAACCATTTAATGCTGAGGTTCCTCAGAGGTCCAGAGTACAATGCCCTTGCTTTGTACTCTAGGTTCTCACCAAAGACAATCTCATTCACTCCCATATCTTCAATTAGCCAGGAACATTTAAAGTTATAATTTTAGCCCCAAACCTTGAGATGCATAAGTCCAACTAACATTTTGCATGTCACACAGATGCCTCAAAATTAGTACATATGAAACTGAATAATGTATCCTCTGTAACAAAAATTCTGCCCATGCAGTACTCCATCTTAGCAAAAAGTTCGCTGTTCAAGCCAGAAAGCTAGAAGTCATCTTTCAGACTGCCTTTTTCATCTTCCACTACAACACTTCATCGGGGCAAAGGCAAGGCTTCATTCCCCTTAAAGCTTATTTTTCTAGAAAAGAAGACATCCTTTCTCAGGGTTGCTGCTCTTCAAATTCCTTCTGTGTGGAGTATTGTTTTCCTATTCTCACCATATCTCCTAACTACCTGTCATCTTCCATTTACAAGCTTGAGTTTCATATCCTTGATTTATCACCAACTCTTCACCAGGTTTGGTCCCGTTATTTATTTCCATAACACTTTTAATACGTTTCCTTCACAGCACTCATCACATCTTATCAATTCAGTTAAAATCTGTCTCCCCATTAGAATTGTAAGTGCCACAGGGCAAGGATTTTATCAGTCTTATTTAACTTCTGTATACTTGGCATAAAACATCAGCGACTGGTAAATTTTGATCGCATATGTGAATGGTGAGCTAAAAAAACAAACAAATATTTATCTCTGGAAGAAAATTATGCAGGATAAAATTCTAGGATCTCACAAAGAAGAATCCTTCCCCTTCCATGCTTTATAGCAGGAGGAATAAAGTAGGAATATTTAAGTACAATAAATCTGTAAAAACAGTTTCAAATCTTTTCCTATAAAGTCAGAAAATACAACTCAAACATAAAAATTTTAAATTAAATTCATTAAACAATTCATTCATTCAAATACTTATCAAACATTTGCCATATGCCAGGCACTATTACTAAGGCACCTATACAACAGTATACTAAGTCCTTGTCTCACACAGTTTATCTTCCTGTAGGGAAAGAGAGAAAGTAAAATAACACACAACATGTAATAATATATATTACATATATATGTGTGTGTGTGTGTGTGTGTGTGTGTGTGTGTGAGAGAGAGAGAGAGAGAGAGAGAGAGAGAGAGAGAGAGAGAGAGAGAGACAGAGAGAGAGAAAGAGAGAGAGGCAGGAAGTGATAAATGCTACAAAGAAAAATAAGGCGGGAGAAGACAGATAATGGATAATGGTGCTGGTAGGAAAAAAGGTTGCCATTTTACACAATGTGGTTGGGGAAGATATGTCTGATAAGTTGACCACTGAGCAAAGTCCTCAAAAAAGTAAGACAGGAAGCCATACGAGGAAAAAACTTTCCAGGCCCAGTGAACGTTAAGTACCATGGCCCTGGGGCAGGAGTCTGTTTGAGGCACTTAAGAAACAAGGATAGTGTGGCCAAAGGGTGAGGGCAAAGAGAAGAGAGGAAAGAAACAAGATCAAGGAATATTGGGGACTAAATCATGAAAAGTCCCAGAGAACATAAGGACACTTCATCTTTTAGTCTGATAAGGAGGACATCAACTGAAGCAATTTACAAGAGACTGAAAAGATCTGACTTATTTTAAAAGACCATTCTGGATGTTGTGTCACCAACAACTACAATAAGCAGTACCAATATTAATATACATGCAAGCAGACCAGTTAGGAAGCCAATATAATAATTCAAGTAAGAGGTGATGGTAGCTTAGACTAAAATAATTGTAGAAGTGGTAAGAAGTGATTGGACCCTGAATATATTTTGAAGGTGATGATTGGGATGCAATGTGTGAATAAAAATGAAGAGATAAGGAGAGAAACTAATTTGGATCAACATGAGTTCCAATCCCAACTCCATCACTTATAAATCATGAAACTGTGGACAAATTATTTAACCCTCTGGATGTTGTAGTTTTCTCACGTATAAACAGTGATAACTGGTATATCTCAGGCATTTGGAAAGATAAAAGAGAATATAATATGTAAGGAATCTGGCCACATAGCACGTAGAAAGCAGTCAAGAAATAAGACCTATTATGACTATTATTTATACAAGAGTGTTAGACAAGTTACATCGAAACACTGCTTATCCTAGTAAACTACAAGAAAGGTAATCATCAGTATACACTGTTTATCAAAAGCATTTAACAACTGCCTAATGTATACCAAAAATTATGAGCCATATAAAAATAATTTCAGCTCCAAATCCTGGCCTAAAAGAACTTATACTACTGTAGCACTTGATTCACTCATTTTGTACATAAGAGCAAAGGCTAAAATGGATTACTTAGGAAGGCAGCATCATAGGGCAAGGAGCTAAATAAGTAGTTAAAAAACCTAAATTACAGTTCAAGAACTGCTAATAACTAAGGGACCCTGTCACTGACTTGATTTTGGACTTTTGTTGTTTTCCATTTAAGTTATCTGAAAACACATAATTATATATATTATAAGCAAGTAAAAATCAGTAATTTCTTTAGGCTTTTAAATAAATAGCTCACATACCATATTTCCTTCAGAGACCCATACACTGGGAAATACCTATTAATAGACTGTCTCTAGAGTTTCTATTGTTAAAATTCTAAAATGCTAAGGCACTTAAAAAAAAAAGTGACGTAACACTAAACTGTTACATGTCTAAAGTTTGAGGCTACAATTCTCCACAACTTTCCTGCTTTTTTTTTTTTAAGAAATGGGGTCTCACTCTCTCACCCAGGCTGGAGGGTAGTGGCATCAACACAGCTCACTGCATCCTTGACCTGCTGGGCTCAAGCGATTCTCCTGCCTCAGTCTCCTGAGCAGCAGGGACTACAGAAACCCAGCACCACATCTAGTTTTTTTTTTTTTTTTTTTTTTTTTTTTGAGACAGTTTTGTTGCTCAGGCTGGAGTGCAATAGCGTGATCTTAGCTCACCGCAACCTCTGCCTCCTGGGTTCAAGAGATTCTCCTGCTTCAGCCTCCCGAGTAGCTGGGATTACAGGCATGCACCACCATGCCCAGCTAATTTTGTATTTTTAGTAGAGACGGAGTTTCTCCATGTTGGTCAGGCTGGTCTCAAACTCCCGACAGGTGATCCACCCACCTTAGCCTCCCAAAGTGCTGGGATTTCAGGCGTGAGCCCCCACATCCAGACTTTGCCTTTTTATTTTGTTTTTTGAGATGAAGTCTCGCTCTGTCGCTCAGGCAGGAGTGCAGTGGTATAATCTTGGCTCACTGTAACCTCTGCCTCCTGGGTTCAAGTGATTCTCCTCCCTCAGTTTCCTGAGTAGCTAGGACTAGAGGCATGTACCACCATGCCCAGCTAATTTTTTTGTATTTTTAGGAGAGACAGGGTTTCACCCTGTTAGCCAGGATGGTCTCAATATCCTGACCTTGTGATCTGCCTGCCTCAGCCTCCCAAAGTGCTGGGATTACAGGTGTGTTTTTTTGTTTTTCTTGAGACAGTCTCGCTCTGTCACCCAGGGTAGGGTGCAGTGTCGCTGTCTCAGCTCTCTGCAACCTCCACCTCTCAAAGCAATTCTCCTGCCTCAGCCTCCCGAGTAGATGGACTACAGGCACTCACCACCATACCAGGCTAATTTTTTTATTTTTGGTAGAGATGGGGTTTCACCATATTGGCCAGGTGCGTCTCAAACTCTGGACCTTGTGATCCACCTGCCTCAGCCTCCCAAAGTGCTGGGATTACAGGCGAGAGCTACTGTGCCCGGACTTTTTATTTTATTTTCTATATTGATGGTGTCTCACTACATTGCCTAGGCTGGTCTTGAACTCCTGGGCTCAAGCAATCTTCCTATCTCAGCCTCTTAAAGTGTTGGGATTACAGGTGTGAGATACTGAGTCTAGTTTCTTTGCAACTTTTAATGTGGAAAAAAAAATACACATTGCTTTCATTAAAAATAAAAATATCTATGAAACAATTAAGATTAACTTTGTCACAAGATACTATAAATGGCTTACTTGTAAAAAGACCTGTGGAAAATCATTCAGGACTGACTCAAGTAATTCAAGGCCAAACGTCCGAGTCATTTCTGTCATGCCCACTAGCCAATAAGGAGCATCAGCATTAACCAACTGACAAAGGTCCTGGGAAAATAAATCCAACAATTTAATGTGCTAGAATTAAGTGTGCTTTTCAAAACTCACAGTTCGTAAATCTTTAAAAAGAAAAAACCTCTCTTCTTATATAACACGTTTTTCCTCTTAGAAACTAAGCACTGGTAATTCCAATTTTGCCAAATTGTATAATTGATAGATTATATAAGTAAATTTATAAAGAATCATATAACTACTGACAATACACAGAGACAGTAAATGAAAAAAAATAAGCTTTTAATCCAAAGTAATATTTTCAGTACAAATTAATCGTTTTACCTAAAATTATTCATGACAAGCAATGAAAAAATCAGTTTTCTATGTATCAAATTATATTACACAGGCCAAATTTATTACTTAAATTTTCCTTGTTTAAAGAAACTTTCTTTGTGTGTGATTAGTTCTAATATATCTGTTTTCCAGTTTTGGGTTTAATTCATTTTATTTTCTTAAGGTGAGTCATACTGCTTAATCATGTTAATCAGCTATAAATATACAAGTTGTGCTTTAGAACTATTTTAATACAACCTTTGACATAGTTTCAAAAAAAAACTGACATTAAAAAAATTCAACACAAAATCCCAAAATCAAAAATTCACACAAAACTATATTTTAAAATAAAAATTACTTTTATCAACTAAAATACCTGGAAAAGCATATATGCATCTTTAGCACAAGGTTTGAGAGTACTGACAGATCTTCTGTTACTATTTCCTTGTACCAGTACTGGTTGTTCTACAATATCTGCAATCAAAACAGGATGGGTTTTAGGAGCTCATAATGGCCTTTAGTAAATTATATATTCTGTTTAAAAGATACGTTTAAAATAAATTTGTTAATATAATCATAAATTGTAATTATAATTTCAGAATTAAAATTTCTAATTTTAATTATAACATATGCCTCCAAAACAAAAAAAATGTGGAACTATTTTTACACCAAATATCACAAAAATTACACTTTGCTAACTTACATTCACTCTAATAAGCTGGGTATCTGTGTCCATACATTTGGCTTCCCAGCCTCCCTTTTTTCAGCCCCTTTTATTTCATGGATTTAAAATTCACGTGATCTTTAAATGTGCTTTTAAATCTCAAACAAACATATAAACTTTTACCATATGGTTAACTCCTCTACCATTTCACTATCTTCAAGAGAATTACTGCTTGATCTGCTACTATTACCGTTATCAGTTACAGATATTCAACAGCTAAGAATCAGCTAGGCTGGTGTTTCCCAGCTCAGCATTTCTTTAACTAATAGTAAAAAATACCATTCTCTGCAAGTTATGACAGTCTGTTTTGAATAAATATTGACTTAATGACTACTTGAAAAGAAAGAAGTTCTAAGTATTTCTACCTTGCTATAAAGTATTAAATGGCATATTAGCCTTAGAGACATACAACTAAAGCTACCAATCCAGGAATTTTATTGAGGTTATGAATGTATAAAACATTCAAACTGGGGAATTGCCCTGTGTTATTACAATATGACTTTTAATATTTTAACCAAATGGGAGACATTATAAGATTAATTCATTAACATTTCAAACTATTATAATTCTACCTGCATTTTTCTCCAAGAAAAATTAAAGAAAAAACAATATAACAAAATGGAAATATTCTAATAAAGGTATTTGATAAAAATATTTTAAAATTATTTTTTATATTATTTAAATGTTCTTAACATATGTTAGCAGACACAGACAAAAAAGTATGAGAGAAGCCCACTCTTGGAAATTTATCCTAAAGGAATAATTCAAAATGATATGTAGGAAACCACCCAAAACAGTTATAAAATACTAAACAGAATGCAAGTGTCCACTAGGAGACTAGTTCAGTTAAATCAAAGAATTAGAGAATTTTAATGCAATCATTAAAATTTAAATTATGAGGATGAAGCAATAACATGAAGAATTCATAGAATGCAACGTTTGGTTAAAAAATACACATAATGCAATACTTGGTTTAAAATGTGAAATTACCATATTTAACACAAAATTATGCATATACTAGAAATAAACATGGAAAACAAAGAGCCTATTCCTTAGAGTGATCAAATTGTGAAGAATTTATTTTTTAAGTTGCCATTATTGACATAATAATGTTGATCATTTCAGCAAAGGCTGAAAGCTAATAAAAATGAAATAATGCAAGAACTACCCACAAAGTAAAACAACTTTCAGCACTTTACCTCTGTGTCGTTCATCTTCAGCAACCATCCTCTCAAAAACAACAGTAACAACTTGTCGCACTGTAGCAGCAGCTGTATTATTTGTGATATTATCTTTTGTGAAATGTAGTCGAAAACAAAGAACAATTGCCTGAAAACACAATTTTCATTTGGTGTGAAATAAGACTGAAGAGCAAGGCCATTATCTTTATTTTATCAGATGTAACCACAAATTGAATAATTTATGTTTTTGGTTGTTTCAATCACCAATATGAAAAGTCCCACCATTTTATACAATAAAATATAAAATCCTCAGATTTTGAAGTCATTCAAGCTCTCTGTAAATACACAGCCACAGAAAATTTGCTATGGTAATGTGAAACATACCTTTTAAAATTTGGTTAACACCTATATAATAATGTGTTATGTTTTTATTTCCCCAGAATGACTTGCTTTGCAAATAACAAGAACTCAAAGTTTGTTGTATCACTTAATCATCTGGAGAAGCTATGTGATTGCTAATCATATAAATAAATAAAATTATTAAACTTTTAAAAAGGAGTCATTTTTTTCTTTTAAAACTCAAGTTTATTAAGGTGCAATTTATATACAATAAATTATAGAATCCCTTAAAATTATATAATTTGATGAGTTCTGACAAACATGTGGGCCCAAGAAACTTCGGCCACAATTGAGAAACAGAGTTTCTCCATTACCCCCAAAGTTTTCTTGTGCTACTTCCCATCCATCTCTTCCTCTACCCTTGGCCCCAGGCAAGCACCCCTATGCTCTTTTCACTGCAGATGAGGGGGCGTTTTCTATGATTTTTATATAAACAGATTAATTCAGTATGTGCTCCTTTGGGGCTGGCTTCTTCCACTTAGAATAATATTTGTGAAATTCATCCACATTGTTCTGTGTATCACTAGTTTGTACCTTTTATTACCAAGTATCATTCCATGGTATGAGTACACTATATTTTGCTTATCCATTCACCTGCTGGTGAACATGTGGGCAGTTTCCAGGTTCTGACTATAGGAAAAAAGAAAAAAAAAAAAAAGCTGCTACAAGTAATCATATACAAGTCACTGTAAGGACCTATGTTTTCATTTATCTTGGGTAAATATCTAGAAGTGAAATGGATGGGTCATCTGGTAAGAATAGGTTTAACTTTTTAATAAACCACCAGTTGGCTTGGGCATGGCAGCTCACGCCTGTAATCCCAGCACTTTGGGAGGCTGAGGTAGGCGGACCACTTGAGGCCAGGATTTCAAGACCAGCGTGGCCAACAAGGTGAGATCCCATCTCTACTAAAAACACAAAAATTAGCTGGGTGTGGTGGCAGACACCCTTAATCCCAGCTACTTGGGAGCCTGAGGCATGAGAATCCCTTGAGCCCAGGAGGTGGAGGTTGTGGTGAGTTGAGATTGTGCCACTGTGCTCCAGCCTGGGCAACAGAGCAAGACTCTGTCTAAAATACAAACAAACAAACAAACAAACAAACAAACAAACAAAAAGAAGAAGAAGAAGAAAGAAAAGACAAAGAAAAAAAAGAAACTGCAGTTTCCCATAGTGGTTTTATAATTTTACGTTTCTGTCAGCAGTATATGTGAATTTAGAACTATCCTACATCCTCCATAGCACTTTATATGATTAGTCTTTTTTCATTGCAACTATTCTAATGGATGCATAATGCTATTTCCTTACGGTTTTCATTTGTGTGTCCCTAATAACACTGAACTTCTTTTCATGTGTTTGTCACCCATTTGAATATATTATCTTAGTGAAGTATCTGTCAAAACTATTTGTCCATACTTAATTGGGTTGCCTGTGTTATGAATGAATTTTAGGAGTTCTTTATATAGTCTAGATACAAGTCCTTTGTCAGATATTTGTATTTTCCCACATCCTGTGGCTTATCAAGGATTTTTGATTTTATGCCCTAATAAATCTTTGCCTACCCCAACTTCACAAAGATTTTCTCCTATTTATACTTCCAAAAGTTTTCTAGTTTTAAAAGAAGTCATTCTTGGAGAAAAACATATAGTATTAGAATCAATGCCTATCACATTAATTATATTAAAAATTTTAAGGGACGCAAGCCTTTGATACCACTGTTACACTTTAGATTTCAACATAAAGGAAAGACACAGTACATAGTTATATAGAAGGCTTCACATTACTCAATTTTATATTATTTCTTGAGACGGAGTTTCGCTCTTGTTACCCAGGCTGGAGTGCAATGGCGCGATCTCGGCTCACCGCAACCTCCACCTCCTGGGTTCAGGCAATTCTCTTGCCTCAGCCTCCTGAGTAGCTGGGACTACAGGCACGCGCCACCATGCCCAGCTAATGTTTTGTAGTTTTAGTAGAGACGGGGTTTCACCATGTTGACCAGGATGGTCTTGATCTCTTGACCTTGTGATCCACCCGCCTCGGCCTCCCAAAGTGCTGGGATTACAGGCTTGAGCCACCGCACCCGGCTATTATTTCTTTATACTTGATTTTTCTCATACCAAGAAAACGCCATTTCCAAATTAACCAACACACTAAAATAAATCCTAAAATCAGTTCTTACTTCTTTAGTAGGTCAAATGAAAACCTTTCATAATTTTTTAAATATATGTATCAGAACGATAATTTGATAGCTAGAAACCAAGTGGTATGACATATAATAAACGGATATATTAAAATACATACAATATTTTATATAGCCAGTACAAGCTTAAAAGAATAAACCATTTGCAATTAAAAATCTCATTATGATGTAAGAACATCACTTGAGATAGCATATACAGCTTAACGTGATAGTATACTGTACTTCTTTATAAGCCATGCAAATTATAATAAAGCTATTACTGAGTGTCTAAAAAATTCCTTAGACAATAATTCATTTACTGTTATGTTACTCTTTACTTTCTGTTCTTTACAAATATTTCATAATAAAAAAGTTTTTAAAAAGTAAAATAAATAATAGAATGGCTCTTATATGTTCCAAAGTGGGTGGGAGTGGGGACAAAATGATAGTCATCTTGTCTAGCCGTTTAAGAAACATATTTGAACTGTCTGGCTTACATATCATATACATGTTAAATTATGGGTAGGGAGCGCTATCACAAGAAACCTAAAATACTAAAGGCAATACCTTACAACACATTGTTTTTCCTTAGTTCCCTCCTTCCCTATTCTTACTCTTCTGCTACTTTCTCTCTTTTTTCTATTTCCTATTCACAACTCAAGCTGTTGGCTGGACTCAAGGGACTTTGCTTAAGCACCCCAACGTGATTTCAACTCTAATCTGGAAAAAATAAGGTGCCAACAGTTATTAACATGCAATGTCAATCATCACAATAGTTGTAGGGAAGCTGCTTTTGATTCAAAAGGCACCAAGCTTTTCTCTTTCAGCCAGCTCATTCAAATAGTGTCTCAAAACACGTACGAACTCTGGCAAACAGGTTTCTTACCTTAGAAAGTGCCTCATCGTGAACTACGGTATTGGTTGTTAAAAGAACAAGAACTGTTTGAAGTAGCTTAAGTTCTTCAAGACTATTTTCCATTAGCTGCCAAAGCATGTTAATTATATTTCCAGCTGCAGTCTGTAAAATAGTTATTTTAATTATTGTCAACAAATAAAATATAAATGTTGATGTCCCTAATTAAGAAAAGGTATACAAACCTACCACAGTTGGAGAGGATTTCTTGACCACAATAACAAAAACTGTATTTTTAGATCTCTAGATCCAAACATGTCTCTCAAGTAATTTAGCACTTACAATCAATTAATTCTCTCCCTCAAAAAAGTAAATTTAAAAAAAATTATAATAGCCAATTTGAATATACAAATAGCAGCAAGCAGTTTTGAAATACCTAGTCAAAATCATAGCTCATTTCTACAATAATATTGATAGACTGTATATGGATATAAATAATATGGACATATGCAATTTATGAGTCTGCTGTTTCAGATACATTACTTCATCTAAAGTATGTTACAGAAAAAACAAAATGCAACCCATATTAATAACACATTGGCACACTCAATTAAGTCTGACATTACTTAAGATGATAAATTAACAGCAAAACATTTATTACTTCTATTATAGTACTTATAGAGTACAAAATTAAGATAACACCATTAAATTTGAGACCAAAATGCAGATTCATGGTTAAGAATTTTTTTTTAGTTTTTCCATCATAATGTTAGATACAAACAATATGTTTAAGTTAATGAAAAACAAATTATCACTCCATATAATCTAGGAGGGAGAGTTAGGATCTTCCCTTCTCTCTTTATAAAAGAAAAATTAAATAACCAATTAAATTGAACACTTGCTTGAGTCTCAAAATTTTCATCTATATTACTGAACTGTGACTTCTTAGATTACAAATGACTTGCAAAAATAATTGTTTGTGAATGTGTAATGAGGAGAAGATTTGACAGAATTTTTAAATAAAGCCGTTTTCTCCAAGTACACTGCCATTCCTAAAATAGTTTTATATTAAATATCAGGTATGTTTCATTCTCCTTTCATGAAAACTCCTCATTCAACTCTTAGGTGCAGTTTAGATAAAAATCTTCATATTACCTCAGACACGACTTCATGTGACATGAGTCTCTGAATAGCAGCCAAACACAGCTGAGTGATCTTCGGTTCCTTGGTTCCACAACCCATTAAAAAAGGCTGTACAACCTCTGAGCTGTTCTCTTTCAGTGCTTCAATTAGAACACATATAAAGTAAATTATCAAAATTAATCTATAATTAAGAACGCATTTTTATATAATTACAATCAGTAATAGTTATCTCAATAAAAATTACTTTATGTAAAATGAATACCAAAACAAAAATCAAGCGTTAAAATACCTTGGACAGACACTCCAGACTCTGTATCTAAACTATATGCCTGAACTACTGCTTTCCCATGCTTTTCTCCTAACACTCTGTCCTTTGGTTCTCCTCCAGCTTCTGTTACAAACTCTATTAGGACATGGAGTCTCAAAATTTCTCTCCCACCTCAAAAAAGCACTCTGTTTCTTCATATACTGCAGGAGGGAAAACATAAATGAGAATTCCCACCCTAGAATAGAATCATTAAAGAGAGTACATACATCATCCCCACAATACTTATAAATGAATACTTAGAAATTTCCTAGAATTTTACTATATGCCTTGAATTTAAACAGCCCTAGTTTCTCAAGAAATAAACATATTTCATTGAAACAATAACATTACCCCTCTTATTTCTGAAACAGCCACTTTAAATTAATTAGATGCACATGCTGTAATTTCAAACCTTAATTTAACTTCTTCTACCAATCCAGCTCACTCAGAAGTTTTTAAGTGGCAATAAAAATGTAAGAGGTTAGAAAATGTAGAGACTGAATTATACATAATTATTCATAATTTACAAAATGAAATTAAATCTATACACATTTACTGAAAGGCTACACAAAGATGGATAAGGCAGGTTTGTCATCCTTTGGGAATCTGAATAAATGACATGGAATTGCAAGTCAAGGGAACATTAAACTTATAAGCGAGATTTATTATTAAAAGAACTAGCTCTATCAGTTATTTTTTGAGGCAAGACATGCAGTAAGGACATATAAATCTAAGTTTTAAAATGCTTTTCAAAAGAAATTGACACAAAGTCATCCAGAATCACCATTAAAAATGTAAAACCAGTGTTAACATTAATTTTACAATTTAAATCCTCACCTTCTTCTTCCAAAGCTCTCTTTATGGTATGGTAAATCAAGACTACGACTTCCTACAGCCTGCTCTGCAAAGTCCCTCAGTATGCCAGCATAAATTGCTGATTTAGCACAGCTAAAGATGGCAAATATAACTGGCAAAGAACAGTGTTCCCAAAAGGACTCCCTGTCCTTATTCCCTTGCTTTCTCATACACAAAGGCTTTTATTCAAACCTAGGGACAAAGTTTCCTAAACAATATGAATAATTATTAAACGACGATGACCAGAAACCTCCTAATAAAGCTTCAATAAAATGATTAAATATCCTACCAGATTTAATCCTGCCAGAATCACTGAAGTATGATGCAACCCCTATCTCTGCTGAATATTCTTTATTAAACATTATTCATGCATATTAAAGGCCCTCAACAGTAACCAAGTTACACTTATAATTTTTATGTGTTAATATATGTTTCTCCTTTCAACATCACAATAATCTCAGAGAGTTTACAGAGCCTGATTTGGCCTTACTGATACAGTAACTAGGTAGTAAAGCCAGAATTTGAAAATATGCTATGTCTTCTAACTCCTGGTTCACTCTTCTTAACAACATTATGCTGCCCTTCCTTCTGGTACACAGCACCCTGATAATAATGGAAATTAAAAGAGGACCCAGTGATTTGCACTTTAAAATTGTCTGCCTGAAGTCTTCGAACAAATAAAGGAAAATGAACTTGTTTTCATAGAAAACAAAACAAGATGTACTTTCATAGGGTCTAAGATGCTAATGATTTTAAGACATACCCATAATATCACAACAACAACAAAATCAGTGCCAATTAAACTATGACACAATGCTTTCTAATCATTTAGAATTTTTCTTCACAATTTCATCCTCTGGACCATCAACAGCACTGGGAATGAACACCTTATTTCTTGAAAGAGTACTTCACTATGTCTCTGAGATTTTCTTCTAAGTCAATGGCAACCATTTCTGCATGTTCTGATGCTGGTGCTTTTTTGATCGTACCATAAGATGGTAACAGAAAGTTTTCAACAACTAGGGTGATATTTTAAATAGCAATTAAACTCAACATATGTGGTGTCAACAATGCACGCAACTCAACTGATGTGATAATAACATGAAGAACCATAACAAGTTCATGCACACATTGAAAAAGATAACTACAACATCACCTGGCTCACAGTGATTCTAAGATGCCATCAACTGCAAGATGCATACCAATCAGGGGATGTTAAAAGGTGAAAAAACTGTGCACACTAAGATCAACAAAATAAGGTAAGTCATGGTGAAATGCCATATACATGTCAGCTACAACCAGTTCTATCAAGCTGAGATAAGGTAGTATTAAAAATTAATGTTATGAATTTATTTTAATGTAATTCAAAGGAATCAAACATCTATTTCTCATCTTTTCCCTCCAAATTTATATGAGAACATAATAATCAAAAAAGAAGTTTCTATGTTATCTAGAATGATCAACAAAACAATAAAATCTATTTATCTACCCTAAGTCTTTTGAAGTATACTTTGAAAAACAAAAAAGCTTCCACTGTATTGAGATTGTAATTAGGTGAGAAAAATCATAAGGAAAAAAAGCACAAGGAAAAAAGTTATTGCTTTTCCTTTTCTTCTTTAAAAAGTGGTAACAGTCCAAAGAAATATAAATTAATCTTGCTCTTCCAACTGAGAGATATCCACTCTCTGCAATAACTTTAATAATATGTTAGGTAATGATAACTTTACATAAATACCTTCCTACAGACTGAGATTTTAGAAATCCAACAGAGGAAAAAGGCTCTACAGCAATATAAAGAAGACATTTTACTTTAACCATTTTGTATGTCATTCCAGAAAAAAAAAAGAAAAAGCTGATTCTTTTTGATCAAAGTTATTGGTTTCTATTTTCATTAAAACACAAAAACAGCTTATGGAGAATGATAAAAGAAGAAGTTTATTTTCCACCTAAGTCCCTCAATAAGTGTAACTCTTTAACAGAGTAACACTGTGTGTTGGATAAATATTGTATTTCCAAATTATGTAACTGTGAGACCAAATGATGCACTTTCACACACCTGAAAGAGGTCTACCAGGTCCCCATATCCTAAGGGTTTCCTTGTTCTGAGCAGTTTCACTGCATAATTGCAGTTTTTATCCTGGAAAAAAAGAATTAAACTAGGATACCCCACTATGAATCATATTAACAGGGGTTAATAAAAGTTTTATTGTGAAAAATTTTAACAGCTGTTAAAGAATAAACTTCAATTCTTGTGAAAGAGAGAAAATGTGACTTAGACATTATTTTGATACTCAAATTGCTTAAAATCTAGTTCTGGGGAAGACTGATATTCCTAACAACATTAAAAAATATTTTAGCTGAGCACAGTGGCTCAGGCCTGTAATCCCAGCACTCTGGGAGTATGAGGCAGATGGATCACGAGGTCAGGAGTTCAAGACCAGCCTGGCCAACATGGTGAAACCCCATCTCTACTAAAAATATAAAAATCAGCTAGGCATGATAGCGTGTTCCTGTAATCCCAGCTACTTGGGATGCTGAGGCAGGAGAATTGAACCGGTGCCTGGGAGGTGGAGGTTACAGTGATCCAAGATTGTGCCACTGCACTGTAGTCTGGGCTAGAGTGAGACTCCGTCTCCAAAAAAAAAAATTTCGAAAGGTCTGAAAATATATTTAAATGATTCAAGAATGAGGACAAATAAAAGCCTAGGCAGTTTCACATTAAAAGCACATTACAGGAAAGGGAAGGGCTATTTAACAAATGATGTTGGTTCATTGGTTAATAGTTTTGCAAAAGAAAAAATCAAAATCCTCACATTACCCTACATATTACTAATTAAGAAAAAAAATCAAACCTTTTGTAGAGCTACAAAAGAAACCAGAAAAATTAGATTATGTAAAACTGAAAGGCATCTAGATAAAAAAAGCAAAGGGTAAAAGGCCTGGAAAAAATATGATATAAACATGATGCAAGGTTAATATTTTCCTGTATCAACAGCTCAAGCAATTTGATAAGGAAAACACAAAAGTTCAAAGAAATGAATGTAAATTTTTAAAAAATAATAATTTAACACAGAGAAAAATGATGAACATCTAGTGAAAGTCAGAAGTCATGGCCCGGTGCTGTGGCTTATGCCTATAATCCCATCACTTCCAGAGGCCGAGGTGGGCGGATCATGAGGTCAGGAGTTCGAGACCAGCCTGACCAAGATCATGTAATCCTATCTCCACTAAAAATACATTAGCTGGGCACGGTGGCAAGTGCCTGAAGTCCCAGCTACTTGGGAGGCTGAGGCAGAAGAGTCGCTTGAACCCAGGAGGTGGAGGTTGCAGTAAGCCAAGATTGTGCCACTGCACTCAGCCTGGGTGATACAGCAAGACTCCGTATCAACAAAAGAAAAAGAAGAAAGACCTGAAACTAAGAAACTATGAGAAGAAATCAGCAACACAGTGAAACCCCGTCTCTATTAAAAATATGAAAAAAGTCAGCCAGGCGTGGTAGCACCTGCCTGTAGTCTCAGCTACTCAGGAGGCTGAGGCAGGAGAATCGCTTGAACGTGGGAGGCGGAGGTTGCAGTGAGCCAAGATCGCACCACTGTACTCTAGCCTGGGCAACAGAGCAAGAGTCCATCTCAAAATAATAATAATAATAATCATCATCATCATCATCCTGGCAAGAAGATTATAAAAATATGCTCACTTACTGTTGGCAAAGGTATAAACTTTCATCTTTTTGGAAAGCAGTAAGTTGACACATTCTAAGAATTTTAGACATATTCACACTCTTTATAATCCCACTTCTAGCAATTATTAAGAAATAATTCTAAATGCTGAAACATACCATACCTAAGAAAATCGTTAAACTACAATACATTTGCTGAAATATCATAGAGCAATTTTTTAAATTTTATTTTTATTTATTATCTTTTTTTAAAAATATACTTTAACTTCTGGGATACATATGCAGAACGTGCAGGTTTGTTACATAGGTATACACATGCCATGGTTGTTTGCTGTACCCATCAGCCCGTCATCTACATTAGGCATTTCTCCTAATGCTATCCCTCCCCTATCATACAGCAATGTAAAACATTTAAAAAGACTGGCATCAAAGAAAAATATTTATGATACAACAAAAAATACAAATGATATAATACAAGGATATAAATTTTAAAAAGAAAAAATAAATAAAGGCATACTGTACTGTAGATAAACTATGTAATCTCCTTGGCTCAACAGGTCAACTTGTGAAATCGGCTTTATTTACAGCAACCCCGCCTCCCCCGTCATGTCTTCTAGCCTGGATTTTAGAAACAGTCTCCCAAAAGATCTCTGCCTAAATGACTATACACTGAAATACGTCCTCCACACTGCTACTCTAATTTACTCAAAATATAAATATGAACGTGTCACTTCCCTGATTCAAACTCTTTCCATCATGCTGCTCAGAATATCACATAATGGCACTTAGGAAATTCCTGACACCTATTCCCCCTTCATACTTTTTGGCCTGGCAACACTTGAATAGTGTATACAAGTACAGCAAGCTGTACACACAAACCTCATGTATTGAAGGAGTCCCCTTTACTTTACACTTTTATACTTTATTTGCCTGACTAAGTCTTCCTCAGGCTTCCAGACTCTGCTTCAGATTTCCAAGCAGGTTAGGTGCCTTCCCCATGTCCCTATAACAACCCTCTCCATACTTCCATCTTGGCATTAACCACATAGTATTAAAATTCTATGCTAAGGGTCAGTCTCCTTCATTTTTCTGTTATCTGAACCTGAACTTAAGATGATAAAACTCACTTACTCAATAATTATAACCTGTAAAATTAAAGAGAGGTGGCTTGGCATGTTGGCTCACGCCTATAATCCCAGCACTTTGGGAGGCCGAGTCGGGCGGATCACGAGGTCAGGAGATTGAGATCATCCTGGCTAACACAGTGAAGCCCTGTCTCTACTAAAAATACAAAAAATAAGCTGGGCGTGGTGGCACTCTTGGGAGGCTAAAGCAGGAGAATCACCTGAACCCAGGAGGTGGAGGTTGCAGTGAGCTGAGATCAGGCACTACACTACAGCCTGGGTGACACAGTGAGACTCCATTTCTAAAAATAAATAAATAAATAAAAGAGAGGTAGAAAAACATATTAGAGGCAGCAGTGACTTAGCTGCCCCTTAGTGTAATTTATTTATTAGCCTAGATTTAATGAGGGCTTACTATTTCCCATGCAGTATGCTGGCAACATAAGGCAGAATAAGATGTTGACTCTGACTTCAGGGAGTATGTCATCTAGAAGAAAAAGTTTCTTTAAAAGGTCTTCAAAAGCCAAATCAAGGAATAGGTAAGCTAAACAGAATGAATGGCACAAATGCTTCTTTCAAGTACATTTCTTGCATTTCCATATAGACTAGAGGTGAATTTCATTACCCATCTTTATATCTCCTCTAATGATTCCTACATAATTATTTACTTATTAAGAGTAGGCATGATATACAGACTTTGTAAAATATCACAAGCACATTTATTGATAAGAAAATATATTTAATATTATATATAAAATATAAATATATTAAATTTAAAAAGCAAATAAATTATCTTTTAAAATCAGAAAAAAATTCCAAAGTATATTTACTCATTGCTACTTAAAGACCTTTTAGTTATAAGCTCTTTTGAAAAAAAAAATGAGGGAACAACATGTGAAAAAAGAACAAAAGTCATATCTACTGATTATTTATGTAAAAATTATGTATAATGACAGCAGCTGAAAGCAGCCACAGGTAGATGTAACCACCATGGTTTGGGGTAGGGGCTAAATATACAATGTTAAAAGATACCACAACTTCACTGATTTCCTTGTTAGAAATATTTATTTAAAAAGCAGATTATGTAATTTTTTGTATAACAATTTCTGAATTTTTAGTATAAGCTAGGATAATAAACACATATTTATAATATGTAATATTCATATAATAGATAATAAATGTAAGATTAAGGCATTTGGCCTTGTAAATGAAACCTTTATGTTGCTATCTCTCATTTTCAAAGTTTTATCTTTAAAGAAAATGGAAATTTTGAAATAATGATCTATACATCTGAATCAATGCTGACATTACCTGGCATAGCATTCCCACTTATGTCAGCATTCATGACAGCAGTGAAAACAAAGAAAAATAAATATTAAAGGAGGATGCTTAAAAGAAGGGGAGATGTAAAGCAAAGACTTATTCTGAAACATAAATAATATTCCCTTGGAAAATAAATCTAAGAAAACTAAAGTTGACTAGAAATCTATGCTGAATATCACTGATTAAACTACTTGATCCCAATTAAAAGTTATCATTCTTACAACAAACCTTTATATATTCTGAATATATATAAAGAGACATATAAGATTTCAATATCCCATCTCATTTGAGACTCAATTGTTTGGTATGGTATTTCAATATCCCATCTCATTTGAGGCTCAATTGTTTGGTATCTTTGACATACATTAGAGCACAGAAGTAGTATAGTCTCCTATAGTCTCAAGTACCATAAAGAAATAATACTTCTCAGGAAATTTTAAAAAGTTAACTAAAAATTTTTCTCAGTATTAACTGTACTCTGAATTAATTATATAGTTTAGAAACTACACACTAAACTCTGTTTTGAAGACCCTCTGATTTTCAAGATGAGAGTGGTGTATAAATCTATAACTTTTAGGTATTAATTGCTTTAAATACTTCATTAAAAATACTGAAGTTTAAGTGCAAATATACTTCCTCAATTACATGGCTCTAGATACTATGAAGAGTAAAGCATGAACTATTAATTGTATTTGCATACAGATCTGTTCTAACTTGATTTGAATAATGCTAATTGAATTAAAATGAAATTAACAGCCAGCCAACTAAGTCAAAATTTTTCTTACTCATCTTAAGAGTAATTAATTAGACATTTTACTTGGGATACAACGCTGAAATAACAGTGATCCTCTGAAGAAATCAGTCATTTTTTTAAGAAAGTCTTCCACAAACTATAATACCAACGAAAATTTATATTATTGGAGAATAATTAAGAACATACCACAGTATCAACAAAGATAACAGCAACAGTAAATATTTTAAATATTTACGGTGATATTCTAATATGATTGGCCTATGGTAAGTCTCCAACATAAAAATATCCACGACATCATTTATCTTTAAACACTAATTTCTTCACAGTAACTCATCTGCGTAATATACATCGCCCATTAAAACCCACTTGCTTGCCTGGCACCGTGGCTCATGTCTGTAATCCCAGCACTTTGGCAGGCTGAGGCAGGAGGGATCACGAGGTCAGGAGTTCCAGGCCAGCCTGGCCAACATGATGAAACCCTGTCTCTACTGAAAACACAAAAATTAGCGAGGCGTGGTGGCAGGCACCTATAATCTCAGCTACTTGGGACGCTGGGGCAGGAGAATCTCTTGAACTCAGGAGGCGAAGTTTGCAATGAACCGAGATCACGCCATTGCACTCCAGCCTGGGCAACGAGAGCAAAACTCCATCTCAGGGAAAAAAAAAAACAAAACCCACTTGCCAACTTTCGTAACCCAATCATATGCACCTCTGCCTTTACCCACCACTTTCACTATACTCCTCAATATCTACATAGAGCATTATTCACTTCTGTGCACGTTATAAAACTATTTGGTATTTTGATAGACTGTTCAAAATCGGGGAAAAAGCTGTGTGAAACAGATGTAATTAAGGAAAGCTTACCCTAAGGGCAAACTTCCAGTAAAATTGGATAGCCTAAGTGAAATCCACTCTTGCCCTCTGATCCTTAATCTGTCCCCAGAAATCTTAATTTTATTTCATAACATGTTGAAATCCCACCAGTTACAGACATATTGGTATCCCTTTTTAAAGAGATTCTTTATTTGGACTTTGTGTAAATTAATTTAATAGGATTTCTTTTCTCATAGATTAGCTGAGATCAGCAGCACTACTGGAACTGGAAATGCAGATTAAAGGATCACTGAAGCAAGCACTGGTTACGTATGAAATACCTGGGAGTGAGTAGCTAGTGTGGAAACCTGGTGATACCATGGTAGCATACTGCAGCAGAAAGAACATGGGCTCCTGAACACTCCTGGATTTTAATCTGGTTCCACCACTTTTCCCGTGACCTTGGGCAAGTAACAACCTCTTCACATCTCAGTTTGCTCTACTAACAAATAAGATAATATTTCCCCACAAGCTTGTTATGTAAGATAGAATGACACAAGTGCCTTGCATATAACAGATTTAAGAAAAAAAGCCAGTATACCTCTGTTCCATGTTCATTATGGAGGCAAGAACAAAAGGCACCAAGGAAGAGAAAGGATGATGCCAAAGAGAAACTCAGGAAAATTCCTCCTTGAAAACCAGGTTCAATCAAGAGAAGGTAAGAAAACATTTTTGTTTTCTTTTCTCTACTTCACTCTCATTCTGTTTTCATGATCATCTTGCCTTAGTCCCAAGACTCAAAATTCATATGGTACAACTAAATACAGAAGACTACATTATGAACTGTTTATATTAAAGAGAAAGCAGATCATAGAAAGTGAACTGAGAATGAATCTTTTATTCAATTCAACACAACAAATATTACTGAATGCTTTTTACGGTGTGTCTCAGGTGATTAGCAAGAAGTGGAGGAGAATGCAAAGATGAGTAAGAAAAAAATTCCTTGCCTTTAAGGAGTTAGTAGTGTTAAGCTTTCTGATTTCAGAGAATTTTATAAAATTCATCACTGGGAAACACAATCAGTTCATAAGATAGGAACTTTTACCCATTTTGTATCATTATGAATAGCATATGTTAGGGGATGAGGAAGAGATGTTACAGAAAATGTATGGCTTTCACAAGAAAAATTCTTCTTTTACTATTAGTCAAATTTTTGTAAATTATTAAATTTTTTAATACAAAAAAATTACCTGCCAAAATTTCGGTGTTTCGTGCAGCTATTGTTTTAACTTTTATTATTCCTGATTCGGCGGCCTGCAATAATAAAAATAATTAGAACATAAAATTTACTGCCAAAATGAATTACCTGCAGGAAATAAGTCATACATGATAGACAAAATATCAAGCACAAATAAAGTCAGTCACTATCACATTTTTAGTTTTCAAATCATCAGATACTAAGCCCAGAAGTGACATATACATTAAATGTAATAAAATATGATTAATTCGATTATTCACAGGCAAACTCAGCACTGCAACATGTTGCCTTCCTCCGCCTTAAGGCATATTGGAATACCTCAATCCCCTGCAAATTTAAATGTTCTAAGAATAAAAATAACGAACAAAAACAAAACCTACTGAAAATGATTAGGCTCTTTTTTCCCATTTCAAGCCTCCTCTCCTACTACCACACACACAAAGATTGTACAACACTGCAAAATCAAGTAAAACTATGCTGTTGGATTTTTTTTTTTTTTTTTTTTTGGTAGAGTTTTTTGCTCTTGTTGCCCAGGCTGGAGTGCAATGGCACGATCTCGGCTCACTACAACCTCCACCTCCCTGGTTCAAGCGATTGTCCTGCCTCAGCCTCCCAAGTAGCTGGGATTATAGGCACTTACCACCACACCCAGCTAATTTTTATATTTTATTATTACCATGTTGGCCAGGTTGGTCTCAAACTCTTGACTTCAAGTGATCCACCCACCTCGGCCTCCCAAAGTGTTGGGATTACAGGCGTGAGCCACCACACCCAGACCTGTTAAAATGAATAACCAAACCTTCACTAACCAAACCTTCATTAACCATAGTATGTTTAGCTGGCAGTACTGGCAAGTCACACAGCATTTTATAGAGCACCACAGGACTGCACTGTCCAATTTGGTAGCCATTGGCTACATGTGGCTATTAAGCATTTGAGATGTGGCTAGTCTGAATTGAGCTGTGCTCTAAGTGTAAAATACATACTAGGTTTCAAAGACTTAGTATAAAAAAAAGAATACAAACTACCCCCTAAATATTTATACTGATTACTTGTTGAAATAACATTTCAAATTATTAAGTTAAATTATTATTAAAATTAAATGTCTATTTCTTTTTACTTTTTTCCCTCTTTTTTTTTTTTTTCAAAGAGATAGAGGCTTGCTGTATTGCCTAGCCTAGAGTACAATGCCACAATCATGGTTTATGACAGCCTCAAACTACTGGGTTCAAGTGATCTTTCTACCACCATCTTCTGAGTAGCTGGTACTCTAAGCACATGCCACCATGTCCAGCTAATTTTTAAGTTTTTTTGTAGAGACAGGGTCTTGCTACATTGCCCAGGCTAGTGTTGAACTCCTGGCCTCAAGCAATCCTCCCACCTCAGCCTCCCAAAGTGCTAGGATTATAAGAATGAGCACTGCACCTGGCTCTTTACTTTTTAATGCAGTTAAAAATTACATATATGTATTACATCTATAGCCCATGTTATAATTCCATTAAAGAGTGCTGACACATATTATTGATGTATTATTTCCATCATAGAAACTCAGGACATTTTTACTATTTACAAACATGCTATTTTATACATATACTGTTATCTATACCTCCAAAGACAGTAAGTTTGTAGTGTAAGAAGTTATATGTACAAGTTTTCCTATTAATTTGCTTGCTACTTGGTCATTTATTTTATCTCTTACTGCTTGCTAAGGGACAAGTGGTAGCAGTCTCTAAAGACTTAAAAATAATTATGTAAGAACATCAGTATCCTATGGGCTGTTAGTCTGACAAACAATGAACTGATGTCTAAAATAAAGAACACATTGTAAGCTATACCAGGTGCAGTAGGCTTCTGTCATTTTGTTGGCTCCAAGCATGTCAAGCCCTTGTTCATGTTTGAGGAATCTCTAACTTCATAAATCTTGGTGTAAAACAGAGCCCATCTCCCACTATTAAAATTGAAAATGCAGATGCTTTTTCACATGCCCTGCTGGCAGCCTATGCTTACCCATAGAGATGCACCCACCAGCAATTTTGAATGTGGAGCCTAGTAACAAAGAGCAGAGACAATAAAGAATTCTTTCTGATGACAGCAATAGCGAAAGCAATATCTAGTTTCCAAAGGCTGCAGAACCAGCAGTGGCCTGGAGTGACCAGAACAACCAGAAGTGCAATCAGCAGCATCCAGTCACTAATCAGCAGACACAGCCATAATGGTCTTTCTGGCATGAATTTTGCTGTGGTTCTGGTTGCTTAGCCTCCCCTTCGTTCATGTATTTTTTCTAGGGTTGGCTCCATCCAGCCTTCTACTAACTCTGTGCACCATTGAACATACTATCAGTAAAGTTTATTTATGCTTAAATCAGCCAGAGTCAGTTTTCATTGCTCACAACTAAAAAGCCTAATAGATACACTAGGACTTATTTCTAAAACTTTAGAAAATGGAAAGGTCCCAAATTAAATTAATATGTCTACTAGAAGAAAAACACAGTCAAAATGAATTACTTCAGGGAAGGACTATTGGTTTTCCGATTAATCGAAGCAGTGTATATTAGAAACATCAGAAGCTTTTAAATAAGTCCTGAGGTCCTGATATCCTGATTGCAACCCAGTTAAATCAGAATGACTGCTGGTGGGAGTCAACCATCAATTAAAAAAAAAAAATCTTCAGGTAATTCCAAATACAGTAAAATTTAAGAGACTACCGCAATAATATGGGCAAGAGATGATGGACTGGCCCAAGATTGTTAGTGATAGAGATGGTAAGAAGTGATGAGATTCCGGATATACCCTGAAGATGTACAAACCACAGCAAATTTACTACTGTAAAAATTAAATTACAGAACTGAAGTTAGTATGTGCATTTTGTAACATTCACACACCCCATATCAAATTCTCTTGGATCAATTTCTTACTGAGGTAGTGGAAATTAATCTGTGGTCACTGAAATTTCTTCCATCATCATTTTCAAGTTTAACTTCTCGCCTTTCTCACTATGGCCCTATATACCTTGCATAGGCCCAAAGTCAGTATGTGCTTTTGCTTTGGTGCCAACAGAAACTGATTAAATTGAACCATTATAATTATTAATGTAATTTATCCAGACTTTCTGAATTCTAGTCAGTCAAACCTTAACGGTTTCCAAAATCCATCCTGTAGCATGCTAGATGATAGATGTCAGTAAATGATATCAAATTCACTAGACATTATTTTGATTTCCTGAGATGGAGTTGAACCATGAATGTGTGCACATGTCTAATTAATATCTTTACACATACACACAATAAAGAGAAGAAAAAGGAAGTTTGTTTTTCGTTTTGAGACCAGGTCTTACTCTGTCACCCAGGCTGGAGTGCAATGGCGTGATCACAGACCACTGGAGCATGGACCTCTAGGCTCAAGCAATCCAACCATCTCAATATCCTGAGTAACTTGGGATCAGAGGTGCATACCACCACACCTGGCTAATTTTTTATTTTTGTAGAGACAGGGTCTCCCTATGTTACCCAGGCTGGTCTCGAACTCCTGGGCTCAAGCAATCCTTCTGTCTCAGCTTCCCAAAGTGCTGAGATTATAGATGGGAGCCACCGTGCCTGGTCAAGTATTTTTTAAGCAGTTCCAAAATGGTGTTTTAAAAGATATGCAACTAGTATTTTCATGTCTAAATTCAAAAAATTACCAAAAGGGCTGTTTGTCGTCTTAGATATAATTAGGCTATCTCATAGCTCCTAATTTTTAACATCCAAGTTTCTACTGTCAAAATACTTTGGAATTGTATCATCTTATTCTCTTAGGCAGGCTGTGTTGATGGAAAGTTTCACTATCAATGTTTATCGATACACTTGTATATCACTTAAGTATGAATTAAGACTAGCCTACATCTTTAAGGGTATTCTGTATGAACCGAGGTCTTTACAATCAAATTTCCTTCTATGTATCAAGGATTTCAAGTGTGAAAAAAAATTATTAACTTCTTGCTTTAGAAGTATTCCCTATTTTGATCAGATACCATGTATATAAGTAGGGAAGGTAATCAATTGCAAACATGGTTATTTTTTTCTTTAATTGATACTCATGCAAACAATAAAAAAAGGAAGAAAAGATGAAAAACGTTCTACAGACTTGAATAGAGGTGGTAAGTAAGTAATCTAATCTATTGCCGAGGACAATCTATGAGTCAGAAAGAATGCCAAAGTCTCAAATACTAATGCAGCATTTAATATTTTAAAATTAATCTTCTCAAGAAACATTTTCCTCTTTTCTCAATACTCTTTGCTGACTGCTTTTCTAAGACCACCTAGAATATCCTTGACCTCATTTCTCACTTGGTAAACTCTTCCTGCTTAATACCATAGAGTCGGCCCTCTGTATCCACTGGTTTTGCATCTGCAGATTCAACCAACTGCAGATCCAAACTATTCGGAGCAGCGGGGGGAATACACACACACACACACACACACACACACACACACACATTTTAAAATGCAGTGTAACAACTATTTACATAGCATTTACACTGTATCAGGTATTATCTACAACTGACTGAAATTATATGGGAAGATATGCACAGGTTATGTGCAAATATTACAACATTTCATATCAAGAACTTGAATATTCTCAGATTTTGGTATTCCCTGGAGTCTCAGCTTCCCAAAGTGCTGAGTATTCCCTGTGGTTCCTGGAACCAATCCCCTGCAGATACCAAAGGATAGCTGTAATTTCATGGTTTCATTTACTTTCTAACCTATAAAGACTTCTAAATTATACTCCTACTCCTGATCTGTCTCCCATACTACAGAAATTATTCACCTAAATATTTAAAAGACACCTTAAATTCAACATGTTTAAAATAGATGTTATCATTTCCATCTACCCTCAAACTCCTCCCTCAGTCAGAAAAACTTACTTCTTTCTACAATTTCTATTTTTCTGAACAGCAGCATCATCCATCCAGTCACTGACCAGATACCTGGGTTTTTTTGCTCAACTCACAAGTCTAATCCACCACGAACGCATCTTGTACTTTTTCCTCAAAACTCACTCCCACACTTTAGTTC